AGTAACTTAGTAGATAGCTGGACGCGACTTAAGAGCCATGCTTCGGGACGAATGGGAGACGACCGTAGTAATCACCACGGCCTCACAAAAAACCAGCGTGAAACAACCACAGCGTTGTGTGTGAGTGGGGTTACAGAAGGCCCAAACCTTCCCCGATCCCTAAATCCAAATCCCTTATCCCCAAAAGGTTGGCAACACACTCTGTTGTTGCGGGTGTCCATGGGCGGCGCTGATTGCTTACCATCAGGTAATTGGTCTGGTCGTTTGCCGTCCTACAACATAAACAAAAGTTAGAGGTCACATTCCATTAGATTTGTGACTACTTTTCGATAATGCATTTTAACAAAATCTAGTTATGCTCTCTGTAGATAGCTGTTTGTTGCAATTTTTTTGATAATTCATATAAACGCAGAACGCGTTTGTTGAATAGGTAGAGAGGAATTCTTTCTTCACCGAACCACTTAAGTGTGGGAGACCCATGCTTCGGCGCGAATGATTCTGCTCGACCGGAGTTATTCCACGGCTTCAGAGAAAGGCGGCGTGAAACAACCACAGCGTTGTGTTTAGTCGTGTGAGGGAGGTTACAGGAGGCCCAAACCTTCCCCTTTTTCAATCCCTAATCCCCAAAAGGTCGGCAACGTACTCGGCAACACACTATGTTGGGCGGCGCTGATTGCTTACCATCAGGTAATACGCCTGCTCGTTTGACGACCTATCACATAAAAAAAACTTCCAGCAGTCAACGGCGTCTTTTGACTCAAATAATTCACTCTGCCATCTTTTCCTTAATATTATGGATTGGAAACTTTAATCACTAATCCTACATGTAATAATAAATTAAGTAAAAAAATCTTTCATCCCACGCGTATGTTCTAAACTAAAACGATTTATAGTAGAATTACCAGGTAAAACTGAGGTCAAAAATTCTGTGACTAGTTAATACAATTGTAGATTTATTGCGCAGTTAAGAGAATGGGAACATAGGCTTTTTTTGCATGAGAGCTAGTCAAAGGAAGTAGCTGATTTATATCACAGATCACACGGATATGAATCTGAATATATTATTAATTAACCAGTGTAAATTGACCTTTGAAATTGCCGATAGATCATACACAGCAAGCCCATGACAAAATGGTTTATTAATCAAGAACATGTTGTTTATAACATTGTTCTCAAATAGTGTAACAAAATATTTTTAATTATTATTGCGACGAAAAAAAAAATTATAATTTTTATTGTTTTTTTTTTTTTGCTATATAATTATAAACTGTACGCCTTTTTTAATCACATCGGCTACTGGTAATAATCCCCAATGGACTGCGGGCCTCCTATTTATAAGAAGTTACCATGATTTGACGCATGGTTGGTTTTTTATCAATATTGGCTATGGATGTGATAAGTATGTATGTAAAATAATTGTTTCTTTATAATCGCACTAGGAAATACATATTTTAAAAAACATGAATAATCTTTTTTTATGTAATAGGTCGGCAAACGAGCATACGGATTACCTAATGGTAAGCAATCAGCGCCGCCCATGGACACCCGCACTCGCAACGGAGGACTAACAAGTGCGTTGCCGACCTTTTAGGGATTAGAGATTTGGAGATTTAGGAATTGAGGAAGGATTGGGGGAGGGGAAGGATTGGGCCTCCGTGTTTCACGCCGGTTTTTTGTGAGGCCGTGGTATCACTCCGGTCGAGCCGACCCATTCCTGCAGAAGCATGGCTCTCCCACATCTATTTTAAAATTACAATTTATTAACTATTTGCTAGCTCCTGAATCGCACGGATGTACAACTACCGCGCTAACGACAAAAGGGTAGCTATTTTCCAATTTGCACCTCTATTAAATCTAATCTGCACGATACTTTTCTAGAATTTTCTTTCATAAGAACCTTTTCATAACAAAAACATAGCGTGGGCACGCCTCCCGCTAGAAGTTGGTGGTGGTACATTGTCAGAGTCGCGGGGAGCTAATACATAGATGCTGGTGACAGCTTGTCGTTCGACGTGGAGAACTAGGGGGAAGCCTTTGTCCAGCAGTAGACGTCTGCCGACTAATGATGATGATGATTGACTAACAAAAACAACAAAAAGGAAAAAATAATTTCCAAAATTGGGCTTCGGATATTTAACGATTGGGGACATCACTCACTCGGCGAAACACAACGCTGTGGTTGTTTCACGCCGAATTTCTGTGAGGCCTTTTGCTCTTCCAAACGTATTATACAATGTTTGTAAACTCACCCACAACACAGGAGAAAATCCTACATTTTGTGTATGTTTTTAAATTATTCTATATTTTATTAGATCTACAAGTAACACTGGAACGCATATTGCCTGATTTTATATATTATCCATACTATCCATCAGTACTTATATTATAAATGCGAAAGTAACTCTGTATGTCTGTCATTTTTACACGCCTTTACGTTTTTCTTTTTCGTAATTGTGTTTACACAGTCAGTCTACACAACTTTTTATTCTAACTCTCCCATAACGGGCCTGCTGGAAGAGATTTCTGAAGAAATAAACTGTGCCTTTGTACCTAATTGTTGTATTATTTTTCTTGTCCAACTTACTGTGTGTACATAAATTATTAAATAAATTAATAAAGCTGCGGGCAAAAGTTATTTAAAAATAAATATCAATCTCTTGCACGGTAACCCTTCTTCATACATATATAAATAGTTACGGAAATATAAATTTCGTACAAATATAATAAATCGTGACAAATAAGTATTTATTATGAGCGAGTCTATTAAAAAACTGGGTCAAGTACATGCTGTGCTGGCTTGCATTCCAAAATAATGTGCTGCATACAAATTGTCATTGTAAATAAACAACATGTATTTTGATCGATCTGCCTTTCAGCCAATTAGGCATTTTATTTTAATTAGACGTGTTTTTCTTGAAGAATATCGACTGCTTCGTTGATAGAAAGTGCAATAATAGCCTTTGAAAGGCACGTCGAAACGTGCATTTTGCAAAGAAAACTATGTTATTTATTTATTTTTTATTTATTTACCAAACATATTATGTACAATTACTTTTGCAGGTGTCATCTTTTACAATAGTGTTGTTACTTATTCCTACTAAATAACTAAATCTTAACATTTATGTACTTACATACCTTAATATATATACTTAACAAATAAAACCTGCCTAACACAATTATAACAGCCCGCTTTCAGAATGCCCCTTTTCAGATCTTCGGAAAACTTAAATCTGGTTGCTATGCTATTCAATATTTTTCTTGATTTTTTTTATTTGATCTGTCTAAATATATCACAGCGAATTACTATTTTTTTTTACTTGCAATAAACTAGTGCTTGACTGCGATCCCACCTGATGGTAAGCAGTGATGCAATCGTTGATGGTAAGGCGCACTAGCTTATTAAGAGCCTATTCACTCTAGCCTTGAAGACACCTAAATTGTATTCGGACGGAAAGACTGCAGCCGGCAAACTGTTCCAATCCCTCGATGTACGCGGTATAAATGACGAGGCAAAACGCTTAGTCCGGGCCGCATGTAATTATATTTAAAAAAAAAAGAAAATAACCAGCCCTGACATTATTTATTTAAGTTCAAATGATATTACAATAGGCAATCACTAACTGCTTGATATAGGAATTCCTTAACGTTATACATATTAAAAAAAACTGTATTCTGTAATTAATTACGGGACCTTGTATATCTATAGATAAGCATCATTTGAACTCTATGACGTCCCAAATGTACGTTTCTGAGAAAAAAGCCTAAACAATGAACTTTAAAAGTTATTTATGTCTTTTAGAATAACCCAGCTACTGTGCCACACATTGTTTTGACGTCATGTTTGTGCTACAAGTAGCAAGAAGCTCACAGAAAACCGGAGTGAAACAACCACAGTATTGTTTTGCTATGTGAGTGAGGTACCCGAAGGCCCAACTCTTCCCCTCCAAAAGGCCGGTAACACAATTGTACACCATCGTTGTTCCGGGTGCCCCTGGGTAGCACCGATTGCTTACTGTCCCAACAGGTAATAAGAAGGCTCTTTTGCCACGGTATTCGCTCATATGTAACATACAAAATTCTACACCTTAAATAATAATTTTTTTAAGATCAACAAAACGTACAATTGCTCTTGAATATAATTATAGAGGTGAATGACCTTTTTTTTTAAAAAAAAAATATACATAATTAAGGGTTTCTGGTTAAGGGATAAAGTGACTATTATATTTTGAGGTCCTAACTCAGAGCAGGAGTTGGGGTTATAGGGCTAGTGGGGGCGCGAGATTAGCGCCATAAGGTACCGCGGCCTCGGCCTAAAGCAGGAGAAGGAACGACGTAGTTTTTAGTTAGAAAGAGTCTCACAAACCCCTCTTGCCTTATTCTGGGCGAGAGAAGTCATTGGATGATATTCCTCTCATAAAGAAGAGATCGGGAGCTGGAAGGCTTAGTTTTTACACAAAAAAAAGAGTCTATCACTGATATTACCTACTTCCTAGACCAGGGTGGTAGGAATCATTAGAAGATTTTCCATGCACAAAGAAAGGTAATATAAATAGAAGTGAATAGAAGTAAGTAAAATACACCCATATTACTGGATAATAAATTCATTCCTATTTATGTATGTATGTATATATATATATGTATCTAGAGTAAATCTACAATATGCACCAGTTCTCCTTTGTCGTAAACGCACATTTTATCATATATTAACAACTTTATGTACAAGATATTTAAGCGATATGAGCACTTAAATCATAAGTGGGAGAAACAATTATTCTGAACATTTATTGATGTAAACCGATTATTTAGAGATACATAAATATAATGGACCTAAGAAAAAGGCGATCAAAAATCCTTCGACCTTCGAAAACTACTCGATTCATCGATAAATTTAAGATAAGGTTAATGCTTTACGATACAGTTTACCTTAGCTACAGTTTGTACGATAAGTGCGTATTTAGTATATAAGGAAATGTTTTTGCGGAATATTGTTTAAAACTAAAGTCATATCCGTTCGAGCTAACATGTTTATTGTTATATTTTTCTGTCTCAGCAATGTGTTAAGTTTCTCAAACGGAATCGCGTATGACTCATTCAATGGAACTCCGATAAGCAAAGATGAAGTTTTGCGACATATCAGGGATAATACAACGTTGTAAGTATTTTTTTTATATAATATATTTTATGATTATGAAGAAAGATATATCTGAGGTATACTACTGTTTTGCTCTGTGATCATCTTTATATAAATGTAGTGATCAATCTGAAATATTTTTATATCGAATATTAAAAAAAACCTCGCTTCTTTAACAAGTAGCCTTTGAAAAGAACATCTGATTCTGATTCCAGAGTGATAAGACACAGTGTAGCGTTTTTAGCGGGTTCCATTTTGCATAATTGCAGAAAATAGTTTCAAATATTAGGTACACAAAGAAGGTTTCCCTCTTCACGTTTTTTTAATACGGTGGCAAGCGAGTGGACATAGGGATTTAAGGATTGGGGAGGTCTGATGGAAAGGAAGGATTAGGCCTCCAGTAACCTCATTTTCAAGGTGAAACATAACTTTAGTTGTTTTTCGCCGGTTTTCTGTGAGTTCGTGACCTGGTATCAATTACACCCGCCATGTTTACAAGCAGACTGTTGTGATGATGTACTGTGATAACCTGACGAAATGTCAACCAAAAAAAAAAAACTAAAAAAAAGTACGTGTGCACTGAATCCTGTAAAACAGTAAAGTATTAATATGCAAATGTATAGCGAACCGGGATGTGGTATAGCTCCATTGATTTTGCATAAAGCAAGAATATTTTAATTAATTCTAGTTGGTGTATGATTGATATTGAACCCTGCGATCCCAACGAATGGAGACGTCTCGATGGGTCGTGCAATAATCTGCGAAATCCTGCCAGAGGGGCTATTCACACGCCCGTTAGTAGGATTCTACCACCTTCTTATGACGAAAGTAAGATTTGCCAATTAATTTCTATTTAATCATATGTATATTTGTTATGGATGGAGTGGGAGACCAAAGAAAATATGGATGGATTGTGTGAGAAATGATATGGAAGACAGAGGAGTTAGCGATAGCGTGACGGGTGACAGGACAGAATGGAAGAAAAAAACATATTGCGCCGACCCCAAATAAAACGGGACAAGGGCAGGGAGATGATGATGATGATGATGTATATTTATTTGATTTTTGTTCATTTAGCCCAGTTTCGCTGATTTCCCACAATGGTTGACTGGCTGGAAATGCCATACGGCATTAAGTTTAGACCGCCTTATGTACCTAACGTGTGCATTAAATAAATTCAATTTTTCTAGAATTATTAATTAATAACCTAAGTTAATGTTAAAATTTTTGCACACAGAAATACATCCAAACTAGTTAATATTATAAATAAATACGAAAGTAACTATGTCTGTCTGTCTTTTCTTCACGCCTAAACTATGGAATCCGATTTCTGTGAAATTTGTTACAGACATAGTTTGGAACTTGAAAAAGGACATAGGATAGATTTTATACCAAATAATTGCCGGTAGTCACTATTCGACGCGAACGGGGTCACGGGCAAAAGCTACATAAAACATATTATTGTTTAAGGCCATCTTAAAAAAAAACTAATTTTTCTTCCAGATTATGAACCAAGAAAGTCGAAAACCGGTAAATTACCGCTTGTAAGGAAACTGCGAACGACTTTATTGTCAGAAGGCCAAGTGCCTGATCAGGTATTTTCTATACTAGCAACATATTACTTAATCTTCATTGCAACTGACATCTCTAATCTACATGACACAGGTAAGCTGTATATTAATTTGGTATTTTCACAGATTTTTTTACAATATTTCATATACATTATTAGACAAATTATTTAAAAATAGAAATAAATATTCATGGTTACCTTGCCTTAGTTCATGTCGTGGCATACAAGAATATTAAATTTTAAACCTAAAAAAAGCCAAATCGATCCAGCCATAGCTGACTAGGGTTGCGGGTAAACCGTAACCGCGGCCCGGCTCAGAACAGCAATGAGTACGGAGTAGTTTTTACTATTTTGTTTAAAATACTAATAAAATTTTGTTAATTGTTAAAGATATACAGCCAAAAGTTTATTAAAAAAAATTTACATTCGATACATAAATAAGTGTTTGCACATTGAATAAAATACGTCTAAGTTAATTAGTAATACTTCTAACAAAATGTTTCAGTGAACTACATTTTGTGGACCCCACATTGCTGTACTCCTAAAGGCAAACACGACCACATGTGTGCACCTATAGAAGTACCACCTGATGACCCCGTCCATCGGTATTCTGGCATCCGTTGCTTGAACCTGACTAAACCATTGACGTTCCAAGAATTGGGTTGCCGTCAGAAAAATACACCTCCTGAGCGGGTACGTTGAAATAGTTCTTCATAAAAGATACACATTTTGCTAGATGTTATTTTTACTGACCAGTACCAATGTGATTTTTCCAAGCTAAATGTAATACTTATTTAGACACCACTGACATATGGTGGAAACATCGTGAGGAAATCTGGACTTATATTTTGAAATCGCCAATCCGCCATGAGCAAGCGTAGTGATTAATGCTCAAACCTTCTCCGTGTTATAGGCTGATGACGAGTGATGTAATGATTCTGATGAAGTGTTTTGCTATTTATGCTGTATATTAATTTTAAGTTTGCGAATTAAGAGACTTTTTCAAATGTCCAACAAAAATCTAGTGGTGACGAACCAATACGCTGCCAGGCATTCTTATCCTCAATATAATCTGAAAGTTAGTAGTATGCCTGTTTACACAATTCGCGTTTAATATAAGTTTTTAAATTTTCTTTCATTAAGATTCAATACTCGTACACTACTTGGAATTTTATTGTAACAATTTACACAGAACCCCATAAAAGATTTCTGTACTTTGGACAGACGGAATCGTGGCACAGAGAGTCCATCTTTGCCTCAAAGTTCTGCACTAATCTAAAGTGGCAAACCCAAAATTTCTTCAACAGATACAGTCAGCCACGCCCTTATTTGACATGTCCACTGTGTATGGAAACTCTTTGGATAAAGCTCTGGAAGGAAGAAAATTTGAAGGTGGCTTGTTGAAGTATGAAGAAGAGGATGGCAGAGTGTGGCCACCAAGGGATGTTAATGAAACTAACTGCTTTATGAACCGCAAACCGAAAGAATCGAGATGCCATAAGACACGTGAGTATTTTTTATTTTCTATACTTATATTAGAAATAGGTAAGATATGTTAGCTTGTTACATACAAGCGAGGGATGCTATGGCTATGGATTGAGGATTTCCAAAATTATTTCACTGATAGATAGCTACAAATGTTCCTGTGTGTATAGCTGGTATGGTATGGCTATAAAATTATTCTTGATTTGCGTATTTTATTCGAGCTATGGCTTTAAACCCTTCGGTTTTTAAAATCCCGTGATACATTACCTACTTTTGTACACGTGTCGCGGGCGGAAGCTAGTATTTTATAAAATAGGAAGCAAACGAGCAATCGGATCACGGATGTTAAGTGATCGTCAACGCCCATGGAAACCAACAGCGGAAGCGTCACAGGCGAAAGTGTAAAGGTCGTATCGGTTCGGAATACCAAAAGAAGGAGCGGATAATTATATAATTGGCGGTAATTTACTTCGTGGACACTAGCACATTTTTATTTACGAATATTGAACTGAATTTGGGAAATTTCATATGGACAAAATTAAATTTTAAGGTCATCATTTATGTTTTGTGTCAAATGTTATCCTTATTTTTATTATACGTATTGGAAAAGGATTTAATAAAATAAAGATATATTTTTTAAGACTCTTATGATTTTTGAGTAGTAAGTATCGTGAGACATACAAAATTTATTGAAAATAGCGTAAAATAACTGAGGAAAGTTCTACTAGTTACTCTACTAGCGACAACGGGACTCTTATTCATGACGCACATGCACGTCGTGGCGACGTCACGCAGCAAACTAGTCTACTAACTGAATACTCTAATGAATTTTTTTTTGCTCATTACTGACGTAGGTACCTACAGTTACTATCTTTAGGTCTTCTTTCTCGTCACGTCATAGCAAGTCATCGCACAAAATGATATAGTAAGGAGTCACTGTAGTCTAAGGATACCTACAAAACTTATAAAATATGTTATAATGGAGCTAGGATCATCTTGATGAGATTTTTTTTTTCTAACTTTCACGATATAGATGCCATGATATAATTGCACTTCATTCTATCATGTTCCGATTTTTTTTCCAGGTAATTAAGAGGTATGTATTTCAAAGACAGTTTAACTTATTTTCTTTATTTATTTCAGCGTCAGACGAAGTTAACACCCTCATAACTATCAACATGATGTCCGTTTGGTTCTGGAGACATCACAACCACATAGCCAACAGACTCGCCAAGCTGAACCCATGTTGGGACGATGAGAAACTATTCTACACTGCTAGAGATATTAACATAGCCGTTGAGATGCAAATCTTCTTATATGAACTGTTACCTTTGATGGCAGGTGAGTCTTCTTGTAATGTATTTATTGCACTTTTGAAAGACTCATTGGACTATTGATGCATTTGGAAAAATATGTACCATAACGAGTTTCTAACTCCGATCTCTTGTATAACCCAATGGTGTATTATATACCAGTGCTGTAAAAAAATACATTATAGAGGAAAAAATATTCTATCAAATATGCAAAATTTAACCTAAATGGTATACACACTGCTCGAAGTAAGATTACAGCGATAAAATCAAAACTGAACTGTTTACGGTTGCAATTTCTATCATAACATGTCACAGAAAAAAACTGAAAAATGAGTTATGTATGTTTTAATCTAATAATATCTGCAATTCGAAAAAGAGATTTTTTTTTCTAAAGTAATCGCCACCCCCCTAGGGCCCCCATAACACCAGAGAAGTTACGAGTGAATTGCCGACCTTATTGGTATTAGGATTCTGGAGATTTACGGAATGTAGAGGGATAGGGGGAACGGAAGGATTGTGGCATAAAATTTGTCTGTTGACTAGGACAGACAAGGCCGTAATTGTTTACTTTTATGTAAAATTGTGTCTTATATGTAACGAAAGTCCCAAACAGGTAATAATATGTCCTATAAAATCTGTTACAGGATATGACAATCTCATTAGAGATGGTGTGATAGTTTACGATGGCTTTAGAGATATCTACAATGAAGCGTACATACCACAAATGTCAATGGAGTTCCCACTAGCCTTGCGATGGGCACACACTATGCAAGAAGGGAATTTGAAGTGAGTATGAGAAAAGAAGAAACAGAAAGAAGTTACAGAGTTGCAACGTTCTCCTATTAACATTTTGAAATTAGTTTTTTGACACTTATGCCAATCGTCTTTTTATTACCACCCTTTTATGTAGAGGAGATCATAGAATACGATCCATCGCGGTTGGCTCCTCAAGGAGTCGTTAGAGCGTCGTTGCCTGACCACGGTCGTGTAAACGCCTCAGTAGGAAGCAAGACTTGGAACAGTTCAGTCAGTTAGTCTGACATTCCCTTTCGCGGAAAAGGGCATTATGACGTCCCAAAACCGCTCCAACTCATGTAATCCAAGGTATACTGAATACTAGTATACAACCATGAAAACCTCAAAACATTTATAAGACAATAACTTGTCTTCTTGTTTAATTCTAGTTTTTCTTTTTAATTTTAGGATGTACAACCCACATGGTGATTATTTGAAAAAGGTGCCGTTAGTCGACCTTACAATAAGGACAGGTTACTTGGCAGTGGATAATAACATTGATTACTTAACCCAAGGAACGTTTAGACAACCAAGTGCTAAGGTTGGAGACAATATTGTGGATCCTGATGTAAGTTTCATATTATTTTTTATTTAAAAATGTTATATTGCCATTATGTTCTTGGAGGAAAACAATGAATTCTGAATATTGCCCAGTATCATTTCAGGATGTGTCTATGTCTCTCTCCTGAGTTATATTTTTTTGCATTATAATAGTATTTTTTTGATGTCCCAAAGAATTGTGATAAGGTACAAAATAAAGCTAATATTAGGGCTCTTGCGCATGACGTGTTTTTCCAGCGCCTAATAAATTATGGTTACTTATTATATAATATTTACGGCAGTTTGCGTTTGCCAGAGGCAATAGTCATAGGTAACAGCAGGTGTGGCGAATAGCTTCACTAAGAGGACTGACCGACAGACTGACACTTTATATCTTTAAAATTTTGTTTGACGTTCAAAACTGCCTGTATGGGTCTAATTGAAATATTTATTTCAATTCTGTATGGCAGGCAGTTTTGAACGTCAGATTTTGACTTTGACTTTGTCTGAGAAAAGTCATGTGTATTAACTATCACTTTGTTCCATGAAATAAAATTATAGCTTATACATTACTGCACGGATGGCACGGCTGGACTACTAGCTGCCGCGCAACGTATCGCGGATTCGATTCCCACACGAAACAATTCTTTGTGTGATCCACAAATTGTTGTTTCGAGTCTAGGTGTGATGTGTATGTGAAATTGTATGTTTGAAAACGCACCAAAACAGATACAGGAGAAAATCCTACTCAATAATACTAAGAAAAAGAAATGTTCAAATTTTATTAAGCTGCTTGGTTAAGAGAGAGTATAATGTTTGGATTACAGATGGCTGACAGAGTGTTAGGAATAGTTCAACCGTCACAAGATGTGTTTTCAAATGACTTGGCGAAAAATCGTCTCATGTTTATGCAGCCCTACATCAAGTACGTCGAGCATTTCTACAGAAGGAAAATCACTTGTTTTACAGACTTAGCTGATTTCTTCGAACCAGAGGCAAGTGAACAGATCCACCATTTTAAAGAACCGAGCTTACTTTTGTCGATTATCGTAATGTTTTCCATAATTGAGTAGCGAGTCTTATTGCATATCAGATTTATGAAATGGAAACTAAAATAAGCTTAAAAATATATTAAACTGTGAGATTAAAAAAGATTATTTATCTTAATTATGGTCAGAGGAGGAAAGCCGGTGTAAAATTATGGACCCACACACGCTTCCGCTACCCCTTAATAAACGTACGAGTAGAGAAAACTCACCTACATTACTAATTTTTTTCTTTACAGACTTTGGAGAAGCTATCAGATATCTACGACTCTGTAGAAGACATAGATCTTCTAGCAGCGATGTGGGTAGAGAAGCCAATACCTGGTGGACACGTGCCTAGAATGTTTTACTCCATTCTCGCTGAACAGTTGCTGCGAACTATGAAATCTGATAGACATTGGTATGAGAGACCAAACAGACCACATGCTTTTACTTTTGGTAAGTATTTTGATGTTTTTATTGATATTCTACAGTTGAAAGTTCATACTCAAAAGGCTTAAAATTAAATTAATATATAATTTTTTGGATATTTTAAGCAGTATTATAGAAGCAAAAGTTTTGAGCAATATTGTAAAATATACATAATATAGTAAGAGTCATAAAAAAACAATTAAAAAAATACGCTTAATACTATAAAATTACGAATGGACAAGGATACAAACTGCGCAATTCGTTTCTTCGAATTCTTAATTTATTAATCGAAGAATTCGTTTATCGAAAGAACAATGTCATTGAATTTGTTGGTTGCAGAACAACTACAAGAAATAAGGAAGATGACGGTAGCAAGGTTCATGTGTGACGTCGGTGATACTGTGACCGCAATACAGCCGAGAGCATTCCAGAGAATTGGACCTGGGTGAGTAAATGATAATATTTGTAGTTATATCCTATATCTTTCAAGTAGGACCAAAATTGACCCGGAATGCAAATCCAATTTAAAATCGGTTTATTAGTTTAGGAGTCCATCGCGGACAAACACGTGGCACGAATTTTTTATAATAGGTGCGAATTTTTTAAAATTGCCGTTTTGCATGAAAAAATTTAAACGAATTTTTTGATTTGAAATGCGATGAAAATGTAACACTAATCAATAAACAAATGACTACTTTTGGAAAAAGAATCCCATGTTTTTAAAACAAAATTAATTAGCCTTAGCCTAACAAAAACTATTTTGATTTGAAATGGCCAGTACTGCAGAACGGCAATTTCATAGGTAAATACCTATTATATAAAGATATGGTTCAATATCTATTCAGCAGCAATCAACAGCAGTATTTTCGTTTTCTGTACTAATCTGAATTATACCGCGTCTTTCAATTTTTTTTCAGTTCGACCTATTCTCAAATTAGTAATATTCTCATTTGTACTTTAATTTTATTCGCTCTTCGCTTATGTTTCGATTGTTAAAACAATTTATCATACAACTATCTACATACTAACTTTATTGTCTTTTGAAATCTTTATGACTTAAAAGATGATCTGAAATAACTTCTATATTTTTATTTGTTTTTCAGGAATGAACTAGTAAGCTGTGACTTTATACCAGACATGGATATAACAGCATGGAAGGACCATACTTGTAGTGAGAGCTGGAATTTCCACCGACCCAGTTATTAATTTAAACTTCAACAATATTAGAATAACTAATTACGGATATTTAATAAATTAATGAAAAATGTTATTGTGTGTTTTGTATTACTTACTAGTGTGTACATATGTTAAGTTTTAGACTTAGAGGAAGTCATTCTGCTCCGGATACCCAGCTCTTTTAGAGATTGCCCAGCTTTTACCTTTTAGGAGGAGACAATCAAATGTAACGTTTGTGCGAAAACTCCTGTTACGAAAAACCCTACAACGATTGCTCATTTGTTCGGTAATTTATATTACTTCGAAAGTATGTAGGTTTGAAAAGCCTACGTACCTTAAGTAAGTTCAAACAGATTACCACTTTGGAATAAGTATTAAATTCAAAAATACTTTCTTCTTTAATTTTTTTGCCGAGGAATTTAGGTGTCCGACATGCGGTGATGGTATTATGACGAATTATTTCTATTGGAATTGTTTACTCATGTAACCAGATCCACGCCCCACCGAGTCTTTGTATACCCTCTGAGTTTTTGAGTATTTTGCAGCCTCCAACGTATTGTGTGGACTTCTCTTAGTTCATCCTCCAGTTCATCAACAGCATACATTGCTGTTAGAAAATGCGCAAGAAGATCGGTTTACTGCAGACCTGTTTAATTAACATAATGTTGTTAAAGTAGGTCTGTGTAACACAATCACGTGCATCTCAACCAATTTTGTTTTAATTTTTTATTTCTATATTCTTCACTTCCACTTCACCGCCACCCCATTCCTGCAGAAGTTAGTCGCATAGCTGCTGAATGATTCTAGTTCCTATATGGCTATCCTCAGTTTGCCTGTCATGGTTTTTGAGCGTATATTAAGGTATTGTTGGTACTTACACTGATATAAGAGAAAAGTATAATAAAATTAAAGGGAAGATGACTTGAATTGAGGCAGGTCGGCAAACGAAATTACTTATCACCTGGTGGTAACCAATCAGCGTCAATCATGGACACCCGCAGCATAAGAGGAGTAGCAAGTGCGTTGTCGGCCTTTCGGCAGTTAAGGATTTGAGGATTTACAAATTAGGTACCTACGAAGTTTCGGCGGCGGCAGCGATCTCTCGCGCCCGGCCTTAGTCGAGGCCATGGTTCGTAGCGAGAAGCCGTCTGCTCTTTCTGCAAAGCAGTGATGCTCGCAAAGGGTGAGGCGGAGCGCGTGAAGGAACTATCCTCCTCGCACCCCAGCCGCCGTTGAAGGTGACATTCCGGGCGTCGGGATCGAGAGATGATCTCCGGCCACCGTAAGCGCGGGTCTGCCGACGGCGAGTGAGGGTGGCTCGCCGCCCAACTAAAAGCAGACCCGAGCGTACGGCGCGTAGCGTTCCGCGCGCGCCTCAAAGAGTCAATAGACCACCACAGACAGAGCCCTATAGGGCTGATGTTCAGCCGGGGTTGCGGAGTAAGTGCAATGAGGCACCGCGACCTCGGCCCTGAGCAGGAGAAGGAACGGGGAGGATTTTAGTCAGTAAGGATCTGACACTCCCTTCCGCCCGGCCCTAGGCGGGAGAAGTCATTTGATTATTTTCCCCTCACAAAAAAAGGTATCTACAAAGTTGATGTCTGGTAACCTCACTCAGCAAAACATTGCAAGCGTTTCACGACGATTTTCTATTGTATCGAACTGTCTTAGCGTCACCTCATCTCAAATCTTTCACTTACTAATTGGCCTATTTTTGCATTAAGTATAAACGTCACATTATTGAGAAGATTATGTTATCATTAGATATGACAAATAAAAATCTATTTTTTTATTGTATTAAGACTCATACTTACTTCCCTGATTTGAAGATTCAAATAAAATCTTCGCTACGTCCGTTGTCTATCAACAACACGCACCAACTGTACAATTTTGTTGATGTGTTCTTATTAATAAATATCACTAAAGGCTCAACCTTTACAACTTTCACACGTAATTAAACATAATTATGTAATTAAAACTATTATTATAATCCTAGAAATTCATTTATAAAAATAATTTATGCGCAAGGTCGATTTTTTACTAAAGTAATGCTTAATTAATTTATTAAAGATAAAGCTGTCAATTTATTTAATGAAATTAAAATTATAATATAAACAATAGCAGGCATATTATGTGTTTATTTTTCCCCGTTTCTAAGGTACTTCGTGTACTTAAAGTACCTACTTAAATACACGTGCTGTATAATAATATAATTTAAAACGTTTTCGTAATTTTTTTTTATTACCTACATATTAATAAAAGAAAAAATAACGTGTAAGGGGAAATTTTACTGTTTTGATTTTACATTGTTTTGTACGAAGAAAATGGGCGAAAAGGATTCCGTAGCAGCAACTAACATTATACATATACCTACCTAAAACTTCTTTTTGTAGCCTTATTAACCAATGTATTTTAAGAATATTTAGGATATAGCTTCTACAAATGTTGTCCAGTTAATCTTTCCTCCTTAAATAATGTATTAAGGATATTTTTTTTCTTTCTTTTGAGTATTGTTGTCCCTGTTTAGGCGTTTTCTCCTCTCTCTGCGAAGCAGTGAAATTCGCTAAAGGCGGAGCGTGTGAAGGAGCTATCCTCCTCACGTTCTAGCCACCACTTCAGGCATCGGTGATCGAGCGACAATCTCCGGCCACCGTAAGAGCTGGAGTCGCGGTCGGCGAGTAAGGGTAGATCGCTGCTCGATCAGAACCAGACTCGAGCGGTCGGCGCAGCCACGCGCGCCTCATAGAGCCAATCGACCTCCACAGATGGGGCTCAATGAACGGTGAATTGTAGTTCACGATTTATACAGACACACAAAAAAAGAATCAAATAAAGTTTCTGTATTCTGAAAATAAAAATTGTGTAACAGCGTGCAATAACGCTTGCGATGTTTCGCTATGTGAATGAAGTAACCGGAGGCCTCCTAATATCCCATATCTGATCCTCAAATCCTAAAGGACCGACAACGCACTTTTACACTCGTTCGTCAATGCAGGTATCCATAGGGGCGATACCAATTGCTTACCATCAGGTTATCCATCTGCCCTTTTTCGACCAATGCTGAACAAAATATTTGTAAACATCATCAACAAGGGATATGAGCAGAAGAATAGTAAAATGTCAATAAGTATTGAAGCATAAATAATAAGGATCTAGTTCCTAGTAAATACTTAGAAAAAAATGAATAGAAATAACTTTTAGTCATAAAATAACTTGGTTGGCGCGGTGGCTGGGCAACTGGCTACCGCGCAACATGTCGCGGTTTCGATTCCCGCACGGAACAAATCTTTGTGTGATCCACAGATTGTTGTTCCGGGTCTGGGTATGATGTGCATGTGAAATTGTATGTTTGTAAACGCACCCACGACATAGGAAAAAATCCTAATGTGGGGCAACATTTAAAAAAATAAAAAATAACACCTCTTTTAAAAAAAAGAGAACACAGAATATTGCTTGTCTAAAATGAAATCAAAAGTTATTGCTTTACGTTACAGTTTAGTTTATCTCAGTCAAGCGATAAATCAGATACTTTACATACCGTAAGAATAAGTAAATAATCGCCTATTAAGTATATAAGGAAATGTTTTTCGGAATATTGTTTAAATCAAAACTCATATTCGTTCGAGATAACATGTTTGTATTAGTATTTTACTGTCTCAGCAATGTGCTTAATCTTTCAAACGGGATCGCGTATGACTCATTTACTGGTACCGCCTTAAGCAAGGATGAAGTTGCGAAACATATTAAGGATAACACGACATAGTAAGTTATTTTCTTATCCTTTTTATTTTATGATCCTGGGTCATATGATTATGTTGTGGGTCAGGTAATTCAGCTGGCAGATCTAAGGTAGACTTGTACATATCTCTTTCTTCCCGACTCATGAACCAATCCCCATCCTTTCTTGGCAATACGAAGCTTCCATTTCACATACGTACGTGCAGATGTCGTCTGGTATTAATGTTATTTTCTTGTCAAAGAAAAGAAATTTAGAAGTCTATTTTTATGCTCAAACCAGCACACGGATTCTTGTTGATAAGCAATCGGGACCGCCCATAGTCACGCGCAACTGCAGCAAAGTTACCAGTGCATTGTTGGCCTTTCGGAATTAGGATTCGAGGATGGGGGTGTTGAAAGATTAGGCCTTCCTGGTGTATAAAAATTCAGGATTTTGTTTTTCATTATAGCTGGTGCATGAATGAGATTGCACCCTGTGACACTAAAGAATGGAGACGACTTGATGGGTCGTGCAATAACCTGCGCAATCCTGTCAGAGGAGCAACTCACACGCCCCTCCGTCGGATTTTACCGCCTTATTACGATGAAGGTAGGTACAACTAAAACTTAATATGTTCTCAGATAATCGCAAAGTCTTATAGTTAAAAAGCTAAATGGCTACTCAAATTTCTCTACACATCCAAGTAGTATCGTCTTTTTGTTTTTGTACAGTAAATTTACTTTTGGGGTACCCCTGCTTGAATAGGTTTTGTTTGAACTCTAACCTATAATAAGCAGCAGCCGCAAATCAAATCAAATCATTTATTTTAAATAGATCACAACAGGCACTTTCGAACGTCAAGGAAAAAAAATATCAAAAGGTTTAACTTTATGCGTGTCAGTCTGTCCGCTTGTGAAGAGTGCTCCAGTGAAGCTACTTTCTCGTTCCAAAGTGTAGATTCCAGAGTAACCATTTAGTTTCACATCAAATATGCTACATTTTTGGGGTCATTTTTCTTAAGAAACATAGCGAGGTCTTGATCATAGTGATCGATTACTGTTTTTTTCTGTGATTTCTTACTATATCTAGCTACTACTTTATCTTATATATCAAAATGATGTATATTTCTTTCAGATTATGAGCCAATGAAATCGAAAGCTGGTAAATTACCGCCAGTTAGAAAACTGCGGACGACTTTACTGTCTGAAGGTCAAAACCCTGACCAGGTTTTTTCTATACTGGCACCAAATTTCCTTATCTTCATCGCGACTGACATCTCTAATACACATGATACAGGTAAATTTTACATTTACTTTTTTTCCTCTTTTCTCAAACAATGATTTAAATTACTTTCAATTGATTTCTCAAAATATTTGTAAGTGATTATGTGAAAGTCGTGAGAATGTATGGATGTACGTTTGTTATTCTTTCACACAAAAACGGATGAACCGATTTGGTTGAAATTAGCAGTTAGTTTATGTAGATGTGTGATACTCTGGATTAGCACACAGGCTTCTGTTTATCAACATCACCTGCAGCTTCGCCCGCGTGTGATGTTGGATAGGGGCGATACCAATTGCTTACCATCAGGTTATCCGTCTGCCCGTTTTCGACCAATGTAGACTGGCTGCCGCGCATCATGTCGCGGGTTCGATTCCCGCACGGAACAACTCTTTGTGTGATCCACAGATTGTTGTCCCGGGTCTGGGTATGTGCATGTGAAATTGTATGTTTGTAAACGCACCCACGATACAGGAGAAAATCCAAATGTGAGGCAAAGTTTAAAAAAAATAAAAAACAACACCTCTTTAAAAAAAAAGAGAACACAGAATATTGCTTGTCTAAAATGAAATCAAAAGTTATTGCTTTACGTTACAGTTTCGTTTATCTCAGTCAAGCGATAAATCAGATACTTTACATACCGTATTAATAAGTAAATAATCGCCTATTAAGTATATAATGAAATGTTTTCCAGAATATTGTTTAAATCAAAACTCATATTCGTTTGAGTTAACATGTTTGTATTAGTATTTTTCTGTCTCAGCAATGTGCTTAATCTTTCAAACGGGATCGCGTATGACTCATTTACTGGTACCGCCTTAAGCAAGGATGAAGTTGCGAAACATATTAAGGATAACACGACATAGTAAGTTATTTTCTTATCCTTTTTATTTTATGATCCTGGGTCATATGATTATGTTGTGGGTCAGGTAATTCAGCTGGCAGATCTAAGGTAGACTTGTACATATCTCTTTCTTCCCGACTCATGAAACAATCCCCATCCTTTCTTGGCAATACGAAGCTTCCATTTCACATACGTACGTGCAGATGTCGTCTGGTATAAATGTTATTTTCTTGTCAAAGAAAAGAAATTTAGAAGTCTATTTTTATGCTCAAACCAGCACACGGATTCTTGTTGATAAGCAATCGGGACCGCCCATAGTCACGCGCAACTGCAGCAAAGTTACCAGTGCATTGTTGGCCTTTCGGAATTAGGATTCGAGGATGGGGGTGTTGAAAGATTAGGCCTTCCTGGTGTATAAAAATTCAGGATTTTGTTTTTCATTATAGCTGGTGCATGAATGAGATTGCACCCTGTGACACTAAAGAATGGAGACGACTTGATGGGTCGTGCAATAACCTGCGCAATCCTGTCAGAGGAGCAACTCACACGCCCCTCCGTCGGATTTTACCGCCTTATTACGATGAAGGTAGGTACAACTAAAACTTAATATGTTCTCAGATAATCGCAAAGTCTTATAGTTAAAAAGCTAAATGGCTACTCAAATTTCTCTACACATCCAAGTAGTATCGTCTTTTTGTTTTTGTACAGTAAATTTACTTTTGGGGTACCCCTGCTTGAATAGGTTTTGTTTGAACTCTAACCTATAATAAGCAGCAGCCGCAAATCAAATCAAATCATTTATTTTAAATAGATCACAACAGGCACTTTCGAACGTCAAGGAAAAAAAATATCAAAAGGTTTAACTTTATGCGTGTCAGTCTGTCCGCTTGTGAAGAGTGCTCCAGTGAAGCTACTTTCTCGTTCCAAAGTGTAGATTCCAGAGTAACCATTTAGTTTCACATCAAATATGCTACATTTTTGGGGTCATTTTTCTTAAGAAACATAGCGAGGTCTTGATCATAGTGATCGATTACTGTTTTTTTCTGTGATTTCTTACTATATCTAGCTACTACTTTATCTTATATATCAAAATGATGTATATTTCTTTCAGATTATGAGCCAATGAAATCGAAAGCTGGTAAATTACCGCCAGTTAGAAAACTGCGGACGACTTTACTGTCTGAAGGTCAAAACCCTGACCAGGTTTTTTCTATACTGGCACCAAATTTCCTTATCTTCATCGCGACTGACATCTCTAATACACATGATACAGGTAAATTTTACATTTACTTTTTTTCCTCTTTTCTCAAACAATGATTTAAATTACTTTCAATTGATTTCTCAAAATATTTGTAAGTGATTATGTGAAAGTCGTGAGAATGTATGGATGTACGTTTGTTATTCTTTCACACAAAAACGGATGAACCGATTTGGTTGAAATTAGCAGTTAGTTTATGTAGATGTGTGATACTCTGGATTAGCACACAGGCTTCTGTTTATCAACATCACCTGCAGCTTCGCCCGCGTGTGATGTTGGATAGGAGGAGAAATATATACAAGTTATTTAACCAAATCAGTTTAGCTTTAACATAATGAACACTGGCAAACAGAAGTGGAAATTATTTTAAGACATAAGACTTAGTAAGAAATACTTTTTCTTTGTATTCTCACATAAAAAAAACATTTCAGTTAATTACGTAGCGTGGAACCCACATTGTTGTACTCCTAAAGGCAAAGATGATCCTAAGTGCGCTCCTGTAGAAGTGCCACCTGATGACCCCGTCCATCGCTACTCTGGCATCCGTTGCTTGAACCTGACTAAACCACTAACGTACCAAGATTTTGGATGTCGCCAGAAAAATACACCTCCTGAGCGGGTACGTTGCAATTTCTAATAAATAGGAAAATGGTTTTATATAAGTTTTTTCTTTTAATGGCTTCTGTTAAGCGATCGGCGCCGCCCATTGACACTTGCAATACCAAAAGAGTAACTACGAGTGCCTTGCTGGGCTCTCGTGGGTTGTTAGAGATTCGAGGTTGGGGGATGGGGGAGGAAAGGAGGGATTGAGGTTGGGTCTTTGGTCTTTTAACCTCGCGCATACGATGAAACACAACGAATGTATTGGTTCACCCTAGTTTTAGAGCCGGCCTATTCGTGCCCAAGCATGCCTCTTCCACACTCAAGTACTACATTTTGCTGTGATTTGTTGATAATTTTATTCAGGACATTTTTGTCCTTTCCATACATAAAAAGCATAAGGCATTGTGACTTCGGTTTATAAAAAGACTTCAAAATGATCGACAAAATAAAAACACATTATTTTTTTTTTGTTCAACAGATACAATCTGCCACGCCGTTGTTTGATATGTCGACTGTATATGGAAATTCTTTGGACAAAGCTATAGAGGCTAGAAAATTCGAAGGTGGCTTATTGAAGTATGAAGAAGAAGAGGGCAGGGTGTGGCCACCAGGGGATGCTACTAACGCTAGCTGTATTGCGAACCGTAGACCAAAAGAATCGAGATGTCATAAAACACGTGAGTTTGCAAAAAAAAAAAAAAAAAATTTTGTCATAGTTTTCAAGGGGAAGGTCTTTGTCCAGCAGTGGACGTTCCGGATAATGATGATGATGTTATAGTTTTGGATGATATCAAACTTATTGGAAGACTATATAACCTTTTGATCAAAATAAACGTTTCATTTGATGTGACATTATTCTAAGTAGGTCAACAAATATTCATTTATTTATTAAAAACTAAAAGTTGATGTTTATCAAGTTAGTGTGCGATGTACCTACCTAACTATAGTTATATCTTTTACCTTTATACAGTCCACTAAAAACCGTCATTAAGTTAGTTCAAGCAAAAACCATCCTTATTGTCTAAACATTGATGACATTATATCACGGCAGCTCTTGAATAAAAGCGATTTCTTTTAATAAGTTTCATCCCTATGTTATTGAAAATCGATTCACTACTAAAATCATTTTAAGAGGAACAATTCGAAAGTAAAAACCTGCAACAAAACTGCAACAAAAATTGAAATCATGTCAACCAATTTAGAAATTTATCTTCGAGACTGTTTAGTTAATTGTCATGTGCATGTTTCAGCGTCTATCGAAACTAACTCACTGGTTACGATCAATATGATGTCTATTTGGTTTTGGAGACATCACAACCAAACAGCCAACAGACTCGCCAAGCTGAACCCATGTTGGGACGATGAGAAACTATTCTACACTGCTAGAGATATTAACATAGCCATTGAGATGCAAATCTTCTTATATGAATTCTTTACCTTGATGGGAGGTGAGTATCGTTTTAAAAATATCTTATTTAGATCAAATATATTTGGTATTTAAAAAAATAATTAAAGGTTTCAATGAAAAATCAGCTTGTATATTTCCGAACACTCATACTTACCACGTAATACAAGATACAATAGAAGAATAATAGGTGCACGAAAGCCGGTGTTCGCTTGGGGTTTGATGAATTAATAAACTAAGCTTAAGTTGTAGTTGTCCCTCATAACTGGCACAGGCCTGCTTAATAGCTGTACGGATCTATCGATCAAAAAGAGTATCACATCCCATACACTCACTTCTAAACTAAATCCGTTTTCGAATAATAGAAGTCTGAATAGGCAACTCCCATGGACACTTTAGCTTCAGAGGATTTAAAAGGGCAACTGGCCATTCTTTTTTTGGTTAGAGAATTGAGAATTGCATGGAACTTGGTAATTGGAGATGGGGGGACGAACACAAACGTAGTTTTTAAACGAAGGCGTACAGAGAGACACTAATTCGGTTGCCATAAGAGTTATGATTTTAATCTGTTCCAGGGTATGAAAATCTTATTGCTGATGGTGTGATAATTTACAATGGCTTCAGAGATACATATAATGAAGCGTTTATACCACAAATGTCAATGGAGTTCCCATTAGCTCTGCGGTGGGCTCATACTATGCAAGAAGGCAATTTGAAGTAAGTAAAGGAGAAAAAAGATGAGAAAATGATTCAATTAAGACATCCTGTGATCGGACGTGCTACTTATTACTGCCAATTTTCAGCGCATGATTATAGCAAAGACCATTTCATTTTTTGGATTTTTCTGTGATGTGTATTTGTGTGGTTCCATAAATTTATGAATGCCACAGGGAAAAACCTTGATAGGGTAATTTTGTTTTTCAAAAATAATTAATGTTTTCTTTATTCCAATTCAGGATGTACAATCCCCACGGTGAATACATCAAAAAGGTGCCCATAGTTGACCTTACTTTAAGAACAGGTTTCTTGGCAGTGGATAATAATATTGATTACTTAACCCAAGGGACGTTTAGACAAGCTAGTGCTAAGGCTGGAGACAATATTGTGGATCCTGATGTAAGTATATTTTTTTTTGGTAATAATGAGTTTATTAGGAATTAATTTCTTTGAAAAAGTTCACCTAAATTCAAATTCAATTTATTGTTTGTGGAAAAATATCGTATGATTCAATCTCATTATTCATTTGATTTTTGATGACTTTTTTTAATTGCGTCGGAAAATATTCGTCGTTTTAGTGTATTTACTTCAATGTTTTTGACCATTTTAGTAATATACTCTTTGGTTTACAGATGGCCGAAAGAGTTTTAGGATACGCCCAACCATCACAAGATGTGTTTTCAAACGATGTGGCGAAGAATCGTCTCATGTTTATACAGCCGTACATTAAATACGTAGAACACTTCTACGGAAGAAAAGTCACAAGTTTCAGTGACTTAGCTGATTTCTTTGAACCAGAGGCAAGTAACATTAGATTGTAGATAAGAGTGCACAATAGACACCCGTAATGATGCCGTAGTTTCCAACTAGTCAAATTCAATTAATTTATTGAAACTTTAAAAACGATACATTTCAATAAATTTTGTAAAATAGCAACACCTGACGTAATAATTAATATTTTTACGTCTAATAGTCATATATGTATAATATATTAATTATAGTACATTAAAAAAATCAAGTCAATTATATCGACAAGGTAACCAATGAGCGTATGATTACACTTTATAATTAATTATATTGTAAAGCGAAAATAATTTATATTTGACCTAGGAAACTATTTAATTTGAACCTAACTACTTATGTAAAACTTATTTCTTAAACTCTAAAGCTAGAAAAAGAATGATTAGCATAACCAACTACCTAAATGTTGTTCGGAAAACAGAACATAAAATAAATATGAACAACATTATGGGCACAAAAAAACAACTCTTCGACAGCTATCCAAACATTGAGTGCCTCGCAATTAAAAATTAAAATTATTATGTCAACATAAAATTTTGTTATACAATGTTGTTTTCTTTGCAGACTTTGGAGAAGCTATCGGATATCTACGACTCTGTAGAAGACATAGATCTTCTAGCCGCGATGTGGGTAGAGAAGCCAATACCTGGCGGTCACGTGCCTCGAATGTTTTACTCCATACTCGCCGAACAGTTGCTGCGAACTATGAAATCTGATAGACATTGGTATGAGAGACCTAACAGACCACATGCTTTTACTTTTGGTAAGTATTTCAATGTTTTCTTCTTAATGTCAGCAATTTCTGCTCTGAAGTGAACCTAATCTGGTTCACTGCTTCTGGACGTTAATCAGACAGGACAGGCGGAAAGATCATGACTTTATCTTTCGTTTAATAATATGAAGTAGAGTAAAACAAAAGACCGTAACAAATTTTGAGAAAACAAGAATTACAATTTAAAACGTGAATATGTAACAGATAAGGATACACAATTTTGTCTTAGATAGTATAATTGAGTTTGTTTTTTGCAGAACAACTGCAAGAAATAAGGAAGGTGACGGTAGCGAGGTTCATGTGTAACGTCGGTGATACTGTGACTGAAATACAACCCAAAGCTTTCCAGAGAATTGGACCTGGGTGAGTAAATGGTCAATGGCCTGAAGATTAATGAGCTTCTCATACACGAGAGTTTGGTTTCAAATTCCAATGTTACTGATGCCAAATCATACAGGGTGTAAAAAGACACTTAACGAAGCCATTAACTACGCATACTGCAGTTCTAACTTAGTAGCTTTACGCTAAAATTATCACTGGGAAACGACTTTTATTTTTAGGTATCAAAAAAAATAAATAATTTTATTGCGCGCAATGTAAAGCAAACGGGCTTCGTGTCATTGTGTGCGTAGGTTCACAGCTTAGCATTAAAACGCTGTGATAAGTACGTAGGTCGACGTTTTACTTCGCAACAACAAACCAATTCTGTAAAATAAAAATCCTACTGAGTTGCACGATGTTTTTTGTGTGGGTCTGCATTTATTTATTACGTACATTACTGTTCGTAACTTCAAATGCGTAATTTATTTAAGTTTCGAAAAAAGTTTTGTAATAATACTTAGAATTCGATTGCGCAAAAAAAGAAAAATTAAAAATGCATCTTTGACCTTTAATATCTCGAGAACCGTAAAGTCCCAGCTATGGTATTAAAGAAAAATATGATCCAAATAATGGGTAGAATGTGTAGCTTTCGGCTTCGTTAAGTGTCTTTTTACACCCTGTATATACTCTCTAAAATAATTTAGACATCTTTGACGTACGGTGAAGGGAAACATCGTGAGGAAACCTAGACTCATAATTTCTATTTCAAGTTTGAAATTGCTAAGCCGCAATGAGCAAGCGTGGTGACACTTGCTCAAACCTTCTTCATACTAGAAGAGACTTTTCCTGAATAGTTTTATTTTAAATATCAATATGATGAAAATAAAATCAACATCATGAAAACAACATTCGCGTCAAAATTCTATTCCGTCGTACTGTGGGAACTTGGTAAGGCTTTTGCAACAAGATTAGGTCAAAAACTAAAAAGTTTAACGTTTCTAAAATTTCTAAACTGGAAAGTTATTTCTTTTCTAATTTCCATATTCATGTAAAGTTTTTAAGTATTTTCTCGTACAATGGGAATTAATACTTAATTTGTATTTACAGGAATGAACTCGTGAGCTGTGACCTTATCCCTGACATGGATATATCAGCGTGGAAGGACAAAAGTTGCAGTAAGAGCTGGAATTTCATCCGACACAGTTATTAATTAGTGTTAATTTCAATGGGTTTAAGAAATAATAATAAATATTCAGTGTATTGTCTGCATTTGTTTTATTTACAAAAACTTCTGATTCACGAACTGTACTGTACTTCTGGGTAACTTGGTAAAGGCCGGCAACGTTGCATAAGGCGACGCCAATTGCTTATCATCAATCTCTTGCTTATCAATTTCAATATTTTTAGTTCCTTTGGCGTTATAATATATGTATGAATACTTTATCATTATCATTAGAAAAAGAGGTTTGTCAATTCGGCCGTATATCTTTTCTTTCTTTTTCCTTTATTTACAAAAAAAACACTGCCCCACAATAAGATTTTCTCCTGTGTGTCCGTGGGTGCGTTTACAAACATACAATTTCCCATACACACCACACCCAGACCAGAGTTTTTCCGAGCGGGAATCGAACCCGCGGCACGTTGCACGGCAGTCAGTTGCCTAGCCACGGCGCCAATCGTGCAGTCTTTTTAAGAACTGATCCTGACATCTCGTGTTTTTCAGTTGCTCTCGCAATCATGAGACCAGTTAAAAGTTACTAAGTGATAATAATTACAATTACCATTTTCTATGAAAACCACCTGTGAGGATATTTACTTAAAGTCAATCAATATCAATAAAACTGAGGCAACAAGATCAATTTGTTGTTTATGAAAAAGTGTATAACATTATTTTGGCGTATCCATCTTCCTACAAGGTTATACATATTATTATAGATGCAAATGTCTGATACTATTTTTCTAGAACTTTACTGGTCAGCTTATAATGTCCATAAGGGGAATGGAATGGGCTGTTAATAAAGAGCTATTCCGTGTGGCAAAAGAACTCATAGCGCGTTGCCTAATCCAGTTACTATCAATCGAGCTGTCATGTTCGTTTCATAAGGATCACTTTCTCAAACTATATGCTCAACTACAGTCACACGTGTAGGTGTACCCTTTTTATGACACGTAAAAATCTTTAGGTAAAAGTCAGTCAGCTATTTTGCAATGGATAATTAAAGAGTGTGGGACATTATAACTGCAACGCCACGTCGCTAAGAAAACTTAGGTCTCCCTTCAGCCAAACTGGTTATATAACAAATGTGCCACCGTCTGACCCTGAGGTCACTTCGTAAGCGCCTAGATAGACTTGTAAATGTTAATGTTTTACTAAATCTTTACGATAGGATTTAAAAAGCAAGTAATCTTTATTGGTTTTCCTAGCTACTGATAGTTATCTAGGCCACATATTTCTATCTCAATCTACCATTTCCCTTCAATAAACTTTTAGAAAAGAATCTTATTAATTAAAAAATGGCTGCACAATCTGGTCGTTGTTGGTTGGGCACGATGAGACAATTTTTTATTAACCTAAGAGTGGTTGACCTGAGTGGTTGTGACAATAACTTAGCGACGCACCGCGCAGTGGTACAAATTTAATAATTCATGAAGTAAAAGCTGCTTACCTTTAAGCAAACTTTTTCAAATGAAAGCCAATAGAAATAGTTTTTTATGCATTTTATATAAAACTTATTTGCTGTTTATTGGTCTCGCTAAAACTCTGAAACGACTGAACTGTCTTTGTTTATTTTGGGCTTGTAATATTCGTGGTAGTCCAGGAAAGATAAATATTCTTTCACATAAAACTAAGTATTCCAAAAGTTACATTAGATGTTTGACTAGGTAGGAACAAAACTAGAATGTTTTGGCATATTATTTATTTAGTAATAGGCTAGTTTTATAATATAATTTGAATACCATTATTTATATAGTACTAGCTTTTGATTGCGACACCGCTCGCGTGGTATAGTGACTTCCTGCAGATTTTTGGTATTAAAACTATCCTAGGTCTTTTCTCGAGTTTCAAACTTTGTCTGTACCAAATTTCACAGAAATCGGTTCAGTAGTTTAGGCGTGAACAAAAGACAGACAGATAGACAGACAGAGTTACTTTCGCATTTATAATATGTATTAGTTTGGATTAACATACAGTGCATATAGAGGATTTAATGCCAAAATCATTTTCTGCAAGTCATCCTTAAGGTAATGATGAGATGTGTGTGGTAGGTGGTACGCAACAATACAAGGAAGTTGTGAAAAGAAAACGTTTTTATCATAATCAAAAAATATATATTATTCTAATTCATGAGCATGAAATGGTACATTTGTTTAAAATAATTGTGCTCACATTGTAATTCATAGTAATTATAATTAAGTATCATGTTCTAGGAGAAGCACCTGTGAGCATATTTACTTTACCGTCATTGTAAATAAAAAAGGCTCCTGTAAAAATTATTCTTACTTTCTTAAAGTTCTATACGGACAAAATAGTACAATAATTGCATATTTGAAATCGCCAATCTGTCTTGAGTATGAACAAAAGTCGCTATCATAGCAGCGGTAAGACCCCTCTTAAAGGATTGGCTAGAGTGACTCCACGACGTCCTTTCCTTCCACGACGAAAGTTTTGCAAGTTCAGATACCTTTCGGATCCAAAGGGAGAAAACGTCCGGGTGTCGTCAATGTGAGGACTACTCGGAAGGCACGAACTATGCTTGGACGACTTCGTCGTGTTTGCAAGGAGGCCAAAATCTCATCTCTTACCCACCGTCTCCCATCCACCATTCCCCAAATCCTCAAATTTCTAACACCCAAAAGCACGACCTCTGGTATTGCGCCGCTGATTGCTTGCCATGAGGTGATCCATTTACTCGATTAATCGTATTAAGTAAGTATGGGGTTCGTTCCAACTCGATTCGGTCCGTTTGAGGACCGCTCCGACCGTTCGATCTCAAAAAAGTACTGCGCAGAATGTATTGTTCCAGTACAACAGTTTGTTTTAATACATGTGAACAATGGCGCACGTGTTAACATACAACGTTTAATATTCGAGACATGAACACAAATATAGCTAATAATACCAAATCATTTCCAATAACTGCAAAAGCTACGATTGGCGATGTTTCTCGACGACTACTGTCATTGTCTTTTCCAATTTAAAAGTTGGTTTTAACGAGATTATCCTACTTTTTTTATAAATGTTAATGTTTGTGAGAATGTATAGATTTGTGTTGTCATTCTTTCACGCAAAAACGGCTGGACCGATTTGGTTGAAATAGATAGGTGTTACAGCATACCACGCGGGCGGAAACGAGTTCTGTGTACAATCACGTTTTAAAATATGAGTGCGTCTACACTTTATCCTCAACTTTTAATGAAAGGTAATGCCAATTACCACATACGACAAATATCTGATAAGAAGACTAAAAAAGGTAGAGGAAATATAAGGGACTCTGTTAAAGCAGCAAAATCTCAATTTAAAGCAAAACAGCTTTCAAACAATAAATAATACTTAAAAGAATATTTCACGCCACGTGCGGATAAAATGATAGAAGAACATTAACAAGAAATTATTACGTGCATTATTATGTTGGTACAGTTGTTCAATTACATTGTTTAAATACACGTCTCACTTTTATAAGTAAATAGTTTCCGGCCACAGATGTTCTTGTAAGGAAGGAGATGGGTCAAGCGTGAATGATGAATTCTGGGAAGATTCTGTATCACATTGCTGGGCAAAGGGCTCTTGTCATACGGAGTTGAATTAACATTACACTTGCTCCACCTCCGCACGGAAGTGTAGGAATTTATGTGCTTCCGATTACGTGTGAGGAATCGAACCCGGAGGACAACTTGGATCATAAGGTGGCCATGTTCCCCATTTGGGCTGAACACCGTTGTTTCCTCAAGGAAGCGATCGGAGACAGTGATCTCACTCACTCGGCCTTACTCGACCCATAACGTAAAGAGAGAGAAACTGAAAAGCCGTCTCTTCCTTCTGCAATGCAGTTTTGCTCGTAAAGAACTATTCTTTTCCCAGTCGCTGAAGGAGTTGCCCTGAGCATCGATAATCGCGCGAGAATCTCCGGCTATCGTTAGCGCAGGTCTGCTGAAGACGAACAAGGATAGGTCGCCGCTCGACCGGAACCAGAACCCAGCTTACATTGCGCCATACATACCAGAGCCATCAAATCACCACTGATGTACGATGTTTAGCCGGGATATAGGGTATAAGCGCATTAAAGTAGTAACTTAAGAGCCCCATCTCAAAGTAAAAAAGGAGTGGGGTGTATTTTAGTCGGTAAAAGTCAAACAAAAAGTCGTTTGTTCGATAGCAGATTGTATTTTGTTGAAATAAGTACGCTTGATTTATCGATTTTCAAAAATTGGACAATTTATATTAAGAGTTTGAAAAATGTGCATATTAAAATTTTGTTATTTTTTCTAAATAAACTCCAAATAGGGAAAAACTGCTAACTGCTGCGTTTTCTTATCATCCCCAAAAATACGGACCTCTAATAGTGTTCAGCTGTTTTATATATTTTTGTTTAATTTTCCTTAAGTAAACGATGTTCGGTGTACTAAGCTAGGAAGGTGAAGATAATAACCCTATTACAAGCATGGTAATTTTTGTACCTATCCCTTTCAAGTTTCCTGTATCTCTTGGCTATCATACCTACCTGTAGGTATGTTAACCTGAAAAAGTTAATTCATCCGTTATATTTGATTATCCTTAAAAAATACATATGAGATTGTATGTTTTACAACAATAATCTTATATGTTAGTGAGGCAAATTTGACAATACATACAGACAGCCAAAGATCCGCTGAACAAAAAATAGCTGATGAAAAAAATTAAGAAAAAAATATTATCATGTTTTGAAACTTAGTTTAGTAAAGAAAATATTATCATGTAAATGTTAATTAAATAATAAAAGTTTTTAAGACATTACGATTTATGTAACTCAAACACGAAAAACACCTGAACAGATTTTCAAATCAAGAGTCACAACTACACACACTTACGCCAATAAATGAACGAATCTATTTAAAGAATTTTAACAAAGTCAAGAATACTACGAAGGAAAATAGAAAAATTATTATTCTGTAACCAAATTAAAAGGGAACAACAGACCCACCAGCTGCAAAAATGGGTTAAGATGACGTATATTGACTTGCATCTTAAAATATAAATATGTCTGCAATTGTTACCAGCCATATAAGTTATAAAAGACGTATGGAAATTATACAAACGCTTTTGCTGGCCGCAAGTGTATTATAAAAGAAATCCAAAAACCAGATGTTGGTGACGGGTCTCTTCTTTTTGTACTTCTGTGCTAATTTGAGTGGGGCAGCAGTGTACGACATCTTCACTGGAGAATCCCTCTCGGATGAACAGCTTTCCACATATCAAGATGCAAATTTAACGGAGTGAGTACATGTGTTTCTTCTTCAAATATATGTTTGTGTAGGGTTATTTAATAAGGCTAAATGGATTAGTTTTTGTATTTTTAATGTTTCACCGCTCATCAATTGTATAATGAGTTTCTCTGTGTTTTTGCTCTAGCAATTATCATGTTGCAACAGAAAGTACCAGTTGTTAGATTTTATATGGTCATATTTTAGATGGTGAAATAAAATTTTGAAACTGAATCCTGAATACAAAGCCAAAATGTGATATAATTTCAAAGGAAAGAAAGTTATTTTTAAATGGTTGCACTCCGTTGTACGTAATTATAATTATGAAACAAGTTTCTATGGGTTTAGTTGTTTTTATTTTCGCTATGATTCTCATTAATTTTAGATACACATAGATTTAGTTTTATCGAAATTCAATAATACATTATATTGACAAGATAAGGTCCTTAAAAGATATAATAATATAAATAATATTTTGTAAAGATGAAATGAAATTTTTGAAGAAAAATGATATGTATTAATTTGATAACTGATGGTAAGAATACCTACATAGAAGAATTACTGCAATGGATGTATTTAGAGTCCCTGAGAGATATTATTACGTTTTATTAATATTCTCCAGAATAATGTTCACGCAGAGGATTTTTGTTAATCTGGCGATCATTTCGCATTAGGTATATTTGTATGAGATAGGACGGACGAGCAAACTGGCTTGATAGCAAGCATTGGTGACCCAAGGACACGCGCAAAAACATACATTTGGGAGTTGTAAGATTTAAAGGCTGGAGACTTGGAATGAAGGATAGATGGGAAGGACATCTTAACTAAGATCAGTATTATTAAATGGTGGAATCACATATTAGCAGTTTGTATAATCACGATGACATTGGTCGATGTGCGCGTCATGCTCTCGTATGTAAATAGACGCCATCTTCAGAACTGCCACGTTTTAAAATTGGCACGCGCGTTTTATTTCCTATATGTTTTAATAATGTAGAAATAAAAACGGAACATAAAACAAGAGTGACTTCTTTTAGAATGCACAGCGTCAGTTTCTGTAATAAGCTTCGTAATATTATGATGTTTTTCTTTAAAAGCGGTTGAAGGTTTATAATTGTAAAGATTGAGTTAGTCTATGTTACAAAAATTCTTATTTTAATATCAAGCTTGAGACGTACTAAATTTATTGAAAGTAGCGACTTACTCACATGTGAGCACCGCGGTGAATCGCTGCTAATGTATAAAAGTACCGCTATCTTTTGGAAACTAGTAGAGGTTTCCTCAATTAATTCACGTGAAAAAGTCTTGTTGAATTAAAATACCAAAAAAAAAAAAACAGTTATTTAATACATTGATACATTTTACAGAACATGCACAGTCAATATTACATCTTGCGACACAGAAGAGTTAAGACGAGTTGATGGCTCGTGTAATAATCTTAATAAACCTGCTAAGGGAGTTTCTTTGACGCCACCGAAAAGGATTGTACTTCCAGTCTTCGATAATGGTAAGATATTTTTTGTTGAAAACTGTTTCCTGACGATCTTTGATATACCTATATTTTTGGGTACTTTCAAATACCTAGTCGATTTTTACTTTTTTGTTGGGGGCTTATATTCTTTCAGCAATGTTGATGCTGCCAATATTTCTGAACATTGCTATATCAATATGATGATGACGACTTATCAAATCGAATTCAGACTTGTTTACTAAAGTCAGTAAAAGAAGTGGTCACAAAACAGTATGATTTTACAGCAACTTGTTAAAAAAAGTCATCGTCATAGCGTGGGAAATAGAGAAATACAAATCCTTGATCAGATAATTATGAATTTAAAAATAATATTAAGATAACTTTTATTTCAGATTACAATCCAAGAAAAGCAGTATCAGGCAATAGTTTGCCAGTATCAAGGGATATTGGGCAAACGATATTGTCTGGCTACAAACGCAATGACTGCAATTTCACTCAACTCATGACAAGTTTCGGAATGTTCATGTTTTGGGATGTCGGAGCTTTAAACAATTCACGTGAGTTCTCTTTCCACTACTTTATAACCAGCTATTTTATCATTAAAAGGATTCTTCTCACACGAAGAAGGAAGAAAGAATTGGCATTAATCATCATACTTGCTCAATGCGGATTACAAACTTATAATTTGCAATTCGATGAGAAACAACCTTCATATAACTCGAAAAAGTTATATTGATCCTTGCAAAATTTCTAATTCGCTGTCTCGATGAAGCTCGTCGTCTCACGTTCAGGCTACCATGACTTCTTTCTACTCAGCTTACAGAAAAGAGAAGATTGGTTGTGTTTTGTTTTTGCTAGTATTTCACTTTTGTTATTATTATACCTACCAACACACATCTGTTTAAATGTATTAAAATTGAACACCGCCACTCACTATCCCATTTCTTTTAAATGCTTTCAGGTTGGTACCCGGGTAAGAATACTTTATTAAGTTACCAAGAACTTGGGTGCACCAACGACTCTGTTCTGACACCGGTGAGTATTAAGAGATTAATTAAAACCAATTTCATAAATAATAATTTTTAAATACTACGAAAAGTTGGTATCTATGGACGGGTTGTGTCAGTTATTAATCTTCAAGAGCTGTTTTGCTTAAAGAACTCGAGACATAGATTACGATGTTCAGTTGTTTTATCATATTTTGGAAATGCCAAAGTCTGAGGCTGCTAATACGTAGTTAATTCTTTGATTCCATTTTATAACTTTATCCATCTCTACCTATATTTACTAACTAAAAAAAATACTTTGAATTACGCGTTACATTTGCTTAAGTAGCTTTGCTCGAACTTTCTTGATCATAGTAACAGTATCAACCAAAGTAATTTAATAAATTTCGGAATTGTCATTAACTGCCGCCAGTTTACTATTAAGGGTTTATTCTCCGCTAGCATAGCCCACATATTGTCCTCCATGGCGTTTAACGTGTTGAGCAAAAGTGCTTTTTACATCATTATCATTTCCATTATGCACTATTAAATCCAATGCTGGACTATCTTCTTCTTAGCAAAAACTTCTTCGATAACGTTAATTAGTCTTTTTTTTTTAATTAATTTTCAACATAAATTTTGTTTTTTTGTCTACTTCTTAAATTAATTGGCCTTATTAATGTTATTTACAACGGAACTACATATACTGTACCTGATCTGCTGTGAGTTTTCCTAAAACTTGTAAAATAAAATAAAAATAAATCTACAGAATGGTTTGCAATTATCACCACGTTATTCTAAATAACACAATAATTTTTTTACTCAGGTCGTGGACGTGACGAATGTATTCGACCTGTCAGGGATTTACAATCCAGGGAATAATGGCGACAAAGAAATCCGATCTTATGTTGGAGGAGAACTAATAGATGTCGATGATAAAAACGAAACGGACTCGTCTTTGAACGACGAATGCGAATATAGGCGATATGAAAATTGTAAATATATAATTTTATTTTTTTTATATTTATTAAGTATTTGATTATAGTCTAAAATTGCCAGGAAATCGAAGACTGATAAGGAGTGGAATTCTTCGCCGGAGTCTGTGTTAATCGGGTATACCGGGGTGTCTTCAAGGCCTGAGTGAATAGGTTGCTTAATGGGTATTCCATCGTAGGTCGCATCATAGCTAACCACCAGGCTAAGAAATAAAAAAAAAAACTTTTGGTACAACTCATTTTGATGGTCAGTCCTTTAAAAGAAACAATGTCATTGGGTTGTACAAGAAATTTATGGATACAGGAATCGATTCAAAGTAACAAAATGTCGTTGACTAAATAAATTTGTATTCTTACAGTTCCAACCCTACCTCTTAAACTGATGAGGATTTGGTTTGCAAAGCTCCACAACTACATTGCTGGTCATTTAGCTGTTCTCAATCCTTGCTGGGATGATGAGAGACTGTTCAAAGAATCAAGAGAAATCAACATTGCTTTTTTCTTACAAACTTTTCTATATGAATGGTTAGAGTTATTCGAAGGTAAGTTTCTGATGATATTTACATTGTTATTACCTGATACTGAACCATAATATTATCAAATTAAGGATAAAATATTGGGCTAGACATTGGCGTATACGACATCAGTCCAGTGTTTGCAGCAAGAAAACAGACACATGCCAATGTTGGAGCAAATGAGCCAATGTCAATTTTTAACTGCACATTTTGGACGACTTATGTTGGCAACGTTTGAATCAAATTCCGAAGTCGTTGAAAGTATCGTAGGTCAATGTAAATATAATCGACTATCTTCTTCAGAAATAACACTTTCTGTATTAAAATTATTGATATAAAATCGGAACAGGGCTTCCAAAAAATGTCGTATAAAAACATTTATGTACATAGCACTAGTAGTGGAATAGATTTGGAGCGTTCAAAAATGCACTACAATTTATAATAAAAATATTTCTCACATTTTGAAATCGAAATTATTTAAATAAAATTATAGTAATATTTATTTTTGTTTCCAGGACGTGAACATCTAATCAACGTTGGAATTCTAGCAAACAACACTGGATTCAGGGATATTTATGACGAAACTAAATACCCGACAGTTTCTTTAGAGTTTCTCTATATTTCTAGCTGGTTCTTAACTACTCTAGATATAAATGCTGAGTAAGTGAACTGAGTTTTTTTACCTAACTTCTATCTTGGATTTAGTTAAGACCATTTTAACCTATTACTATATCATGTGTCCGATATAAAGAAAAATATAAACTGTCTATGCTTTTTCTATATTTTATGGCATAGTTCGGCAAACGAGCAGATTTCCTGATGGGAGGCAATCGCTGCCGATCATGCACACTCTTGTAGTTTATTAGGGATTTAAGGAAAGGGGATTTGAGGATTGAGGATTAAGTAGTGGAAGGATTAGGTTTCCGGGTCACACGGCGAAACACAACATAAGTGTTGCTTTACGCCAGTAAACTGTGAGGCCGTGGATTGCTCCAAACCATTCGTAATATTGTATTTGTTGTTTTTTATGTGATCGGATATATATATATATATATATAGATAGATAGGTCGGCGCAAACGAGCAGCCGGCTTACCTTATGGTAAGCAATTAACGCCGATCATAGACATAAGCAACGGAAATGTTACGAGTGCGTTGCCGACCTTTTAGGGATTAAGGATTGAGGAGGGATTGGGGGTGGGGAAGGATTGGACCTCCGGTAACCTCACTCACACGGCGAAACACAACGCTGTGGTTGTTTCACGCTGGTTTTCTGTGAGGCCGTGGTATCACTCCGGTCGAGCCAACCCATTCGTGCCGAAGCATGGCTTAAATTGTTGTTCAATTTCACAAATAGATAATTTGTCTTTCTCATCCTACAGAATGTACGACAAGAATGGAAATTATGTGGATGAAATTAATATGTTGAAAATTAAATCGATAGAAAAGTTTTTGAATGAGGATAACAATAGAGAAAACTTGATACAAGGACAGTTTAGGCAACCGTCTCGAAAAATCGATCATACTTTTGATAAAGAGGTTCGTATAAACATTTATTTTATGACTATGTTTAATTAGGTGTTAGTACTTAATGCTATGGTTAGTTTGATTATACAATAAGTGTAACGTCTTGGCGACTGGCTGATATACAACATTTTACATCCCCCATACCAGCATGGGAGAATTCCTTGTGTATTCCAACTTTAGATTACTATGTTACTTTACAATTATTTTTAAATGTCCATCCGGTAACTCTGAAATATTAGACACGTCTTTTTTTCTTTCAGTACATTAATTTGAATCTTTGTGATGTTATTGCGACCATTTAGTAGGTTTTATATCAAGCAATGACTATGCAAATTCCAACTCTTAAATAGAGATTTATTTTCTGTATGTATTGTTTTCTTATACGACAAAGTTAAAAAGAAGTGTTTGAGTTTAAGATTATTTTTTTCATACCTTTCCGTTTTCGCTTTTGATGTTACCGGTTTAGGTAAAACAACACGGGAAAAATCTTACTATGCGAATTATGGTAAAAATATTAGAAATATATCAGTCGTATCTATCAGTTTATTAGACTAAAATAGAAGTATTAACAAAACATGTTTAATACAAATATATAGTCTGTGGAGTCTAGTTTGTCTTCTGTGGGAGGCAACGGTGCTTACTCATCTTAAGTTAAGTTTATTGTAACCTAAAACGTTGCACCACACTTGGATTATCTTCTGTGTCGTGGGTGCGTTTACAAACATACAATTTCACATACACATCATTCCCAGACCCGGAACAACGATTTGTGGATCACACAAAGAGTTGTTCTGTGCCAGCACGCGCCAACCGTGCAATCTGCATAGAGTCTGCAGCTGTGCATACTGGAAACTATTTATTTTGAATTGAAGAATACTTTTATTTTTCCAGACTGCTTACTTGATGGCCAGCAGTTTAGATGGTGGTGAAGATTTTGTTACCAGTGAGTTGGATATGGGTCGTAATTTAGGCATAGCCCCATACATAGACTACGTTTATTACTGCACTGGAAGAAATATCACAGATTTTAACGATTTGCACGATTATATGGACAATGAGGTAAAAATACGATTACAATTTTTGACTTCACATCAACAGTCTATTAATTAACACTGCTCGGCAAATGCTTCTTCTGACACTTAGAGGGTTTGAACATTAATCACCACGCTTTCTCAATGGCATCGGTAATTTCAAACTTATATTAATCTGAAATTATATGTATAGTCCACGATGCTTTCCTCCATTGTTTGTCAATGGTGTTTTAATACGTAATCTTAGAAATTACATAATATATTATAGTACAGGATAAGTCACATTGGTAATAGTCAGGTTTACCCTCAAGCGTGACAGGCCGCCACGACAATGTATGGGATTAGTATGCTTTGTTATGGCAGATATTCCCCAAGAGATTTTTTTTACCTTTGCCCAACATCTCAAATCACGTGAAAATAATCTGAAAAGTGCAAAAATAAAAGAATTTTGGTATTTTCTAGAATGTATTAAAACTGATGAACCATTACGAGAATGTTGCGGACATTGAACTTTTGGTGGGAATTTGGAACGAAGTGGTCATGAAAGGAGGACACTTGCCACCAACGCTAGCTTGCTTGATGAACGAGAATATTCTCAAGACCATACAAGCTGATAGACATTGGTATGAAAGACCTAATCGACCACATGCTTTTACATACGGTAAGTTATTTTAGAGCTTTTTATGTCATAGGTGGGCAAATGAGCAAAAGAGTACCTGGTGGTAGGCAATCAGCGCCGCCCATAGAAACTCGCAATATCGAAGGAGTTACTACATGCGTTGTCGGTCTTTTGTGGGTTATTAGGAACTGATGTATATAGGATTTGAGGATTGGGAAGGATTGGGTCTCCAGTAACCTCCCTCACATGGCGAAACATAACGTAACAGTTGCATCACGAGGGTTTTCTGTGAAGCCGTGGTATCACTCCGGTTGAGCCAGCCCAATCGTGCCAAAGCATGGCTGTCCTACACTAAAAATTACTACTTGTAGTTAAAGATAATTATTGATACTTACAGAAAAAAAAGTATGTTGCGGTCGCGTGTGTTTATATTCTTCGATAGTTTAGAAAGACATGTTTTAGCAAAAACAGTGACGAAGACCATGTATCCACGTTTTGCCATGAGCAAGCATCATTGATGATTTAATTTTAAATTATAAACAAATTCGTTAGAACGCCTGCCTGTAAGCGAATCAATTTATTTTAATTCAAAGTAAAATATTGTTACTGGTATTATTTCTTTTTTAGAACAACTTCAAGAGATCAGGAAAGCATCGGCTGCTTTATTACTTTGCAGTGTAGGAGACGGTGTTGGAGAAATTCAACATAATGCTTTCTTGAACATCAATTCTAAGTAAGTCCCCTTTCCTTTCATTTATCCTATAAGTACCCACAGCATAGAAAAGTTTCTATATAGCATAGAGAAGGCTTGATTGGATTGATATAACTTAATATTTACGAACAGTTTAGGTCAGCCAAATGTAACCATTGAGAGCGAGCAGACCAACTTTTTTGATCCTTTAAAATATGCTTGAATTTGTACCAATCATTTTGCCTTTATGTCTTGAAGTGACTTTTTCGAAACGATAAAGCCGCTCACTATTGCTCGAAACAGCAAACACTGCAGGCATGCAAACCAAGACTATTTATTCATCGTGAATTTGGCGAAATATTCTGGGCCACCTGTATTGAAAGGCAGAGCATATTCAAAGCCCAAAAAACTGTTTGTAAGATTAATGATTAGCTTTTAGGCTATTCACATTATTTAGGTATTATATTAGAAAAAGGATAAAATATTTCTTTAAAAACATTAATTTATTCACAATATAAAAATTTAATATTTACATGTATATACAAAACAGCAAAAATAACGAAAAGTCTACTGTCAATGGGCCATCATAATAAAATAACCCAGGCCGGCTGTTATTATTCAATACAATAATTATTTTTTGAATGATGATAATCAAAGTCAAAAATCATTTGTTTTGATTATAAAAAGGTGTCAGTTCCAAAGTGATGATTCCGATGGAGAATAACGAGCAAGAAACTCCATGGTTACTCTTTTTAAATCAGTTTCACATACAGATTCCTTGTTGTGCCTAACACTAGGATATTTTACTGTGTCGTCGATGCGTTTACAAACATACAATTTCGTATGCGAATCACACCTAGACCCGGAACAACAATTTGTTGATCACACAAAGGGTTGTATCGTGCTATCCGTGCAGTCTTGCAACTTTGTAATACCAACGTTATTGTTGTTAGTTATTCCTTCTGTAACAAAAAAACAAACAAACATATTAAGTAAATTAACTTCTAATAAAATCACAATGAAAACACAACTCGAAAACTCAAAATTCATTTATTTAAATTCCAGCAATCAAGTTGTGAATTGTTCTGAAATCGAAACTATTGACTTCTCATTCTGGATGGATAAATCATGTGATTGTACCGATGCTGCAACCAATGAGACTGTCATAGGAGTGACCACAGAACCTGCCACTTCTGATTCTTCCACCACTGAGGCGTGTGCCAGTGATGTCGTTATCACTGAGGTCTCTGACGTCACCACTGACGTTGCAACGGATTCAGACACCACTGACGTTGCAACCACTGAGCCTGTCGTTGAAGTGACCACCGACGCTACTGCTTCAGGATCATCTACCACTGAGGCGGACAATATTGTTGTCGGAACAACTGAGGTATCTGACGTCCCCACTAACGCTTCGACGGAATCAGACACCACTGACGCTGCAACCACTGAGCCTGTCGTTGAAGTGACCACCGGCGCTACTGCTTCAGGATCATCTACCACTGAGGCGGACAATATTGTTGTCGGTACAACTGAGGTCTCTGACGTCACTACTAATGCTTCGACGGATCCAGACACCACTGACGTTGCAACCACTGAGCCTGTCGTTGAAATGACCACCGACGCTACTGCTTCAGGATCATCTACCACTGAGGCGGACAATATTGTTGTAGGAACAACTGAGGTATCTGACGTCCCCACTAACGCTTCGACGGAATCAGACACCACTGACGCTGCAACCACTGAGCCTGTCGTTGAAGTGACCACCGGCGCTACTGCTTCAGGATCATCTACCACTGAGGCGGACAATATTGTTGTCGGTACAACTGAGGTCTCTGACGTCACTACTAACGCTTCGACGGAATCAGACACCACAGACGCTGCAACCACTGAGCCAGTCGTTGAAGTGACCACCGACGCTACTGCTTCAGGATCATCTACCCCTGAGGCGGACAATATTGTTGTCGGTACAACTGAGGTCTCTGACGTCACCACTGACGCTGCAACGGTATCAGACACCACTGAGCCTGTCGTTGAAGTGACCACCGACGCTACTGCTTCAGGATCATCTACCACTGAGGCGGACAATATGGTTGTCGGAACGACTGAGGTATCTGACGTCACTACTAACGCTTCGACAGGATCAGACACAACTGACGCTGCAACCACTGAGTCTGTCGTTGAAGTGACCACCGGCGCTACTGCTTCAGGATCATCTACCACTGAGGCGGACAATATTGTTGTCGGAACAACTGAGGTGTCTGACGTCACTACTAACGCTTCGACGGAATCAGACACAACTGACGCTGCAACCACTGAGCCAGTCGTTGAAGTGACCACCGACGCTACTGCTTCAGGATCATCTACCACTGAGGCGGACAATATTGTTGTCGGTACAACTGAGGTCTCTGACTTATTTTATTTTATTTTTTTTATTTTAAGATATTCGGAAAACTTACAGCTAAACAAATGAATAAATTTAAAACAATGAAAATTTTTAAGGCCAATTAAAAGTTTCCACTAATAACTAAATACTAATATTCAAAAACAGCAGCAGTCAGCAGACGATCGAAACAAAAGTACTTAAAATAATAATAAATGATAAATCTTAAGGAAAGAAACAAAGTAATAACAATATTAAATGATAAATGTTAAGCAAAGAAGCTTTTAGACAATATAGATTTTAAACGAGAAACACTGGTATGAAATAGATCGAAATCATGTTGCTCAGACAGATTGTTATAGGATCTACTCGCTCTTATAAGAAAAGAATTTTGCCTGTAGGTTGTCCTAACACAAGGGACATAAAGCAGACTAGGCTTACGCAAAGTCTTACAGTGCGTTACCAAACCCACTTTACCCAACAAATCGGGGCAGTCAACCATATTGTTGGCTATCTTGGAAAGGTACAAAATATCAGCTATTTGTCTGCGTTTATAGAGAGGTAGCATATGAAATTTCTTACATCGCACATTATAACCGGATACATACTTACGTGTTTTGAATTGTAGAAATCGTAAAAAGCGTTTTTGAATGCGCTCAATCCTATCAATATAAATATTGTAATTCGGGTTCCAAACTTGCGAGGCATACTCTAAATGGCTGCGGACATAAGAACAATACAATATTTTAAAAGTTTTAATGTCACGAAAATCAGATGCCAGTCTTAGTACAAAACCAAGTGCTTTGTTAGCTTTATTTATTATATTCTCAATGTGTGTATCAAAAAGTAATTTAGAATCAAAAATTACACCAAGGTCTGTAACAAAAGTTTTACGATGCAAAATGGTATGATTTAATTTATATTTAAAGTAAATAGGATTCGGTTTACGTGTGAAAGTATTAACAAAGCATTTGGCGACGTTAAGTTCTAATCTATTGATTGCACAGTAACTTTGTAAGCTGTCAAGATCCTCCTGAAGACCCATACAATCCTGAACCGAAAAAATTGGACAGAGAATTTTCATGTCATCCGCATAGAGGATTATTTTAGAATGAGTAAAGCAAGAACCTATATCATTGATAAATATAGTGAACAATAATGGACCTAAAAGAGATCCTTGCGGAATGCCTGAAGGTATTTTAACCGGGACTGACTTACACCCATTGAGTACTACCGTTTGACATCGGTTATCTATGTAAGACTGAAACCATCTAAACAAATTACCCCTAATGCCTATCGTTAATAATTTACGTAAAAGGATAATGTGATCTATTCTGTCGAAGGCTTTACTATAGTCCGTATAGATTGAATCGACTTGGGAAGGACGTGACATTATATCCGATAAATACTCTGAACAGACCAAGAGGTTAGATACAGTGGACCTATTCTTCATAAAGCCATGTTGACCCTCACTAAACGAGTGTTGAAGAGCGTGGTAAAGTTGAGTGTGAACTATTTTTTCTAGGACTTTCGCAAATAAGCAGAGCTTAGATATGGGCCTATAGTTCTCAATTTGATGCTTGGGACCCTTTTTATGTATGGGTGTAACAAACGCATTTTTCCAGATAACAGGAACCACTCCTTCATTTAGAGATCGAGTATACAATATAGATAAGGGCAATGACAAACTTATACTACAACGTACTATAAACATAGGTGGAATTCCATCCGGGCCAGCAGATTTATTTAAGTCTAATTTTTTTAATAAAGTATATAGATTAGATTGAAGAATTTCTATAGAACCGATATCAGAAGAGGACTGACATCTGTTCAAAATATCTGAATCAAGGCCAATGCTATTATTACTAGGAGTTTGGAGGAAATTACAATAAAAATAGTCACTAAACATATTACAAATCATATTACTGTCACTTGAGGCACACTGTCCATATGACATGTAGATGGATAAGCGTTAGAACCCTGCTTAGTTTTTACAAAAGACCAAAAAGACTTAGGAGATTTTTTTATATTACTTTCTATGGTGTCAATATAATCAGCAAACATTTCCCTCTCCAGTATTTTTCCTCGATCTCTTAACGCAGAAAATGAATCGTAATCACATCTATTTCCATATTTTTTAAACTTTCTATGGTACTTAAATTTTTCTTTTAATATTTTAATAAGAGGTGACTTATACCAAATAGGATACTTAGAACTAGGCTTAATCATTTTTACAGGTACATGTAAGCTGCATAATTTGTCTAATCTAGAGTAAAAAAGTGACGTAGCATCCTCCACTGTCCCTTTAACAAGATCATTATTCCAGTCAAAAGTGTCGAGTTCTTTCGATATTATTTCATAGTTAGCTAAATCAAACAAAAATTTAAGTCTTGGTTGAGTAGGTAACATATTATGATATTCCACGAAATCAAAGTTTATACAGAGAGATACGTGATGTGGGTCCTCAGAAACTAATGGTTCAGAACATTTAGCGACATCAAGGTAATTGTTGCTGAGAACCAGATCCAATATTCTATCATTTGTATTTTTGTGAGAGTTATACTGGAGAAAATTACCCGTATTTAAAATATCAATCTGACGTCACTACTAACGCTTCGACGGAATCAGACACCACAGACGCTGCAACCACTGAGCCTGTCGTTGAAGTGACCACCGACGCTACTGCTTCAGGATCATCTACCACTGAGGCGGACAATATTGTTGTCGGTACAACTGAGGTCTCTGACGTCACCACTGACGCTGCAACGGTATCAGACACCACTGACGCTGCAACCACTGAGCCTGTCGTTGAAGTGACCACCGGCGCTACTGCTTCAGGATCATCTACCACTGAGGCGGACAATATTGTTGTCGGTACAACTGAGGTCTCTGACGTCACCACTGACGCTACAACGGTATCAGACACCACTGACGCTGCAACCACTGAGCCTGTCGTTGAAGTGACCACCGACGCTACTGCTTCAGGATCATCTACCACTGAGGCGGACAATATTGTTGTCGGTACAACTGAGGTCTCTGACGTCACCACTGACGCTACAACGGTTCCCCTGACGCTGCACCAACAACTGAGCCTGTCGTTGAAGTGACCACCGACGCTACTGCTTCAGGATCATCTACCACTGAGGCGGACAATATTGTTGTCGGTACAACTGAGGTCTCTGACGTCACCACTGACGCTGCAACGGTATCAGACACCACTGACGCTGCAACCACTGAGCCTGTCGTTGAAGTGACCACCGACGCTACTGCTTCAGGATCATCTACCACTGAGGCGGACAATATTGTTGTCGGTACAACTGAGGTCTCTGACGTCACCACTGACGCTACAACGGTATCAGGACACCACTGACGCTGCAACCACTGAGCCTGTCGTTGAAGTGACCACCGACGCTACTGCTTCAGGATCATCTACCACTGAGGCGGACAATATTGTTGTCGGTACAACTGAGGTCTCTGACGTCACCACTGACGCTACAACGGTATCAGACACCACTGACGCTGCAACCACTGAGCCTGTCGTTGAAGTGACCACCGACGCTACTGCTTCAGGATCATCTACCACTGAGGCGGACAATATTGTTGTCGGTACAACTGAGGTCTCTGACGTCACCACTGACGCTGCAACGGTATCAGACACCACTGACGCTGCAACCACTGAGCCTGTCGTTGAAGTGACCACCGACGCTACTGCTTCAGGATCATCTACCACTGAGGCGGACAATATTGTTGTCGGTACAACTGAGGTCTCTGACGTCACCACTGACGCTGCAACGGTATCAGACACCACTGACGCTGCAACCACTGAGCCTGTCGTTGAAGTGACCACCGACGCTACTGCTTCAGGATCATCTACCACTGAGGCGGACAATATTGTTGTCGGTACAACTGAGGTCTCTGACGTCACCACTGACGCTACAACGGTATCAGACACCACTGACGCTGCAACCACTGAGCCTGTCGTTGAAGTGACCACCGACGCTACTGCTTCAGGATCATCTACCACTGAGGCGGACAATATTGTTGTCGGTACAACTGAGGTCTCTGACGTCACCACTGACGCTGCAACGGATCAGACACCACTGACGCTGCAACCACTGAGCCTGTCGTTGAAGTGACCACCGACGCTACTGCTTCAGGATCATCTACCACTGAGGCGGACAATATTGTTGTCGGTACAACTGAGGTCTCTGACGTCACCACTGACGCTGCAACGGTATCAGACACCACTGACGCTGCAACCACTGAGCCTGTCGTTGAAGTGACCACCGACGCTACTGCTTCAGGATCATCTACCACTGAGGCGGACAATATTGTTGTCGGTACAACTGAGGTCTCTGACGTCACCACTGACGCTACAACGGTATCAGACACCACTGACGCTGCAACCACTGAGCCTGTCGTTGAAGTGACCACCGACGCTACTGCTTCAGGATCATCTACCACTGAGGCGGACAATATTGTTGTCGGTACAACTGAGGTCTCTGACGTCACCACTGACGCTGCAACGGTATCAGACACCACTGACGCTGCAACCACTGAGCCTGTCGTTGAAGTGACCACCGACGCTACTGCTTCAGGATCATCTACCACTGAGGCGGACAATATTGTTGTCGGTACAACTGAGGTCTCTGACGTCACCACTGACGCTGCAACGGTAATCAGACACCACTGACGCTGCAACCACTGAGCCTGTCGTTGAAGTGACCACCGACGCTACTGCTTCAGGATCATCTACCACTGAGGCGGACAATATTGTTGTCGGTACAACTGAGGTCTCTGACGTCACCACTGACGCTACAACGGTATCAGACACCACTGACGCTGCAACCACTGAGCCTGTCGTTGAAGTGACCACCGACGCTACTGCTTCAGGATCATCTACCACTGAGGCGGACAATATTGTTGTCGGTACAACTGAGGTCTCTGACGTCACCACTGACGCTACAACGGTATCAGACACCACTGACGCTGCAACCACTGAGCCTGTCGTTGAAGTGACCACCGACGCTACTGCTTCAGGATCATCTACCACTGAGGCGGACAATATTGTTGTCGGTACAACTGAGGTCTCTGACGTCACCACTGACGCTGCAACGGTATCAGACACCACTGACGCTGCAACCACTGAGCCTGTCGTTGAAGTGACCACCGACGCTACTGCTTCAGGATCATCTACCACTGAGGCGGACAATATTGTTGTCGGTACAACTGAGGTCTCTGACGTCACCACTGACGCTGCAACGGTATCAGACACCACTGACGCTGCAACCACTGAGCCTGTCGTTGAAGTGACCACCGACGCTACTGCTTCAGGATCATCTACCACTGAGGCGGACAATATTGTTGTCGGTACAACTGAGGTCTCTGACGTCACCACTGACGCTACAACGGTATCAGACACCACTGACGCTGCAACCACTGAGCCTGTCGTTGAAGTGACCACCGACGCTACTGCTTCAGGATCATCTACCACTGAGGCGGACAATATTGTTGTCGGTACAACTGAGGTCTCTGACGTCACCACTGACGCTGCAACGGTATCAGACACCACTGACGCTGCAACCACTGAGCCTGTCGTTGAAGTGACCACCGACGCTACTGCTTCAGGATCATCTACCACTGAGGCGGACAATATTGTTGTCGGTACAACTGAGGTCTCTGACGTCACCACTGACGCTGCAACGGTATCAGACACACTGACGCTGCAACCACTGAGCCTGTCGTTGAAGTGACCACCGACGCTACTGCTTCAGGATCATCTACCACTGAGGCGGACAATATTGTTGTCGGTACAACTGAGGTCTCTGACGTCACCACTGACGCTGCAACGGTATCAGACACCACTGACGCTGCAACCACTGAGCCTGTCGTTGAAGTGACCACCGACGCTACTGCTTCAGGATCATCTACCACTGAGGCGGACAATATTGTTGTCGGTACAACTGAGGTCTCTGACGTCACCACTGACGCTGCAACGGTATCAGACACCACTGACGCTGCAACCACTGAGCCTGTCGTTGAAGTGACCACCGACGCTACTGCTTCAGGATCATCTACCACTGAGGCGGACAATATTGTTGTCGGTACAACTGAGGTCTCTGACGTCACCACTGACGCTGCAACGGTATCAGACACCACTGACGCTGCAACCACTGAGCCTGTCGTTGAAGTGACCACCGACGCTACTGCTTCAGGATCATCTACCACTGAGGCGGACAATATTGTTGTCGGTACAACTGAGGTCTCTGACGTCACCACTGACGCTGCAACGGTATCAGACACCACTGACGCTGCAACCACTGAGCCTGTCGTTGAAGTGACCACCGACGCTACTGCTTCAGGATCATCTACCACTGAGGCGGACAATATTGTTGTCGGTACAACTGAGGTCTCTGACGTCACCACTGACGCTTCGAACGGTATCAGACACCACTGACGCTGCAACCACTGAGCCTGTCGTTGAAGTGACCACCGACGCTACTGCTTCAGGATCATCTACCACTGAGGCGGACAATATTGTTGTCGGTACAACTGAGGTCTCTGACGTCACCACTGACGCTGCAACGGTATCAGACACCACTGACGCTGCAACCACTGAGCCTGTCGTTGAAGTGACCACCGACGCTACTGCTTCAGGATCATCTACCACTGAGGCGGACAATATTGTTGTCGGTACAACTGAGGTCTCTGACGTCACCACTGACGCTGCAACGGTATCAGACACCACTGACGCTGCAACCACTGAGCCTGTCGTTGAAGTGACCACCGACGCTACTGCTTCAGGATCATCTACCACTGAGGCGGACAATATTGTTGTCGGTACAACTGAGGTCTCTGACGTCACCACTGACGCTGCAACGGTATCAGACACCACTGACGCTGCAACCACTGAGCCTGTCGTTGAAGTGACCACCGACGCTACTGCTTCAGGATCATCTACCACTGAGGCGGACAATATTGTTGTCGGTACAACTGAGGTCTCTGACGTCACCACTGACGCTGCAACGGAATCAGACACCACTGACGCTGCAACCACTGAGCCTGTCGTTGAAGTGACCACCGACGCTACTGCTTCAGGATCATCTACCACTGAGGCGGACAATATTGTTGTCGGTACAACTGAGGTCTCTGACGTCACCACTGACGCTGCAACGGTATCAGACACCACTGACGCTGCAACCACTGAGCCTGTCGTTGAAGTGACCACCGACGCTACTGCTTCAGGATCATCTACCACTGAGGCGGACAATATTGTTGTCGGTACAACTGAGGTCTCTGACGTCACCACTGACGCTTCAACGGAATCAGACACCACTGACGCTGCAACCACTGAGCCTGTCGTTGAAGTGACCACCGACGCTACTGCTTCAGGATCATCTACCACTGAGGCGGACAATATTGTTGTCGGTACAACTGAGGTCTCTGACGTCACCACTGACGCTTCAACGGTATCAGACACCACTGACGCTGCAACCACTGAGCCTGTCGTTGAAGTGACCACCGACGCTACTGCTTCAGGATCATCTACCACTGAGGCGGACAATATTGTTGTCGGTACAACTGAGGTCTCTGACGTCACTACTAACGCTTCGACGGAATCAGACACCACTGACGCTGCAACCACTGAGCCTGTCGTTGAAGTGACCACCGACGCTACTGCTTCAGGATCATCTACCACTGAGGCGGACAATATTGTTGTCGGTACAACTGAGGTCTCTGACGTCACCACTGACGCTACAACGGTATCAGACACCACTGACGCTGCAACCACTGAGCCTGTCGTTGAAGTGACCACCGACGCTACTGCTTCAGGATCATCTACCACTGAGGCGGACAATATTGTTGTCGGTACAACTGAGGTCTCTGACGTCACTACTAACGCTTCGACGGAATCAGACACCACTGACGCTGAAACCACTGAGCCTGTCGTTGAAGTGACCACCGACGCTACTGCTTCAGGATCATCTACCACTGAGGCGGACAATATTGTTGTCGGTACAACTGAGGTCTCTGACGTCACCACTGACGCTGCAACGGTATCAGACACCACTGACGCTGCAACCACTGAGCCTGTCGTTGAAGTGACCACCGACGCTACTGCTTCAGGATCATCTACCACTGAGGCGGACAATATTGTTGTCGGTACAACTGAGGTCTCTGACGTCACCACTGACGCTGCAACGGTATCAGACACCACTGACGCTGCAACCACTGAGCCTGTCGTTGAAGTGACCACCGACGCTACTGCTTCAGGATCATCTACCACTGAGGCGGACAATATTGTTGTCGGTACAACTGAGGTCTCTGACGTCACCACTGACGCTGCAACGGTATCAGACACACTGACGCTGCAACCACTGAGCCTGTCGTTGAAGTGACCACCGACGCTACTGCTTCAGGATCATCTACCACTGAGGCGGACAATATTGTTGTCGGTACAACTGAGGTCTCTGACGTCACCACTGACGCTGCAACGGTATCAGACACCACTGACGCTGCAACCACTGAGCCTGTCGTTGAAGTGACCACCGACGCTACTGCTTCAGGATCATCTACCACTGAGGCGGACAATATTGTTGTCGGTACAACTGAGGTCTCTGACGTCACCACTGACGCTGCAACGGTATCAGACACCACTGACGCTGCAACCACTGAGCCTGTCGTTGAAGTGACCACCGACGCTACTGCTTCAGGATCATCTACCACTGAGGCGGACAATATTGTTGTCGGTACAACTGAGGTCTCTGACGTCACCACTGACGCTACAACGGTATCAGACACCACTGACGCTGCAACCACTGAGCCTGTCGTTGAAGTGACCACCGACGCTACTGCTTCAGGATCATCTACCACTGAGGCGGACAATATTGTTGTCGGTACAACTGAGGTCTCTGACGTCACCACTGACGCTACAACGGTATCAGACACCACTGACGCTGCAACCACTGAGCCTGTCGTTGAAGTGACCACCGACGCTACTGCTTCAGGATCATCTACCACTGAGGCGGACAATATTGTTGTCGGTACAACTGTGGTCTCTGACGTCACCACTGACGCTGCAACCACTGAGCCTGTCGTTGAAGTGACCACCGACGCTACTGCTTCAGGATCATCTACCACTGAGGCGGACAATATTGTTGTCGGTACAACTGAGGTCTCTGACGTCACCACTGACGCTGCAACGGTATCAGACACCGCTGACGCTGCAACCACTGAGCCTGTCGTTGAAGTGACCACCGACGCTACTGCTTCAGGATCATCTACCATTGAGGCGGACAATATTGTTGTCGGTACAACTGAGGTTTCTGACGTCACCACTGACGCTACAACGGTATCAGACACCACTGACGCTGCAACCACTGAGCCTGTCGTTGAAGTGACCACCGACGCTACTGCTTCAGGATCATCTACCACTGAGGCGGACAATATTGTTGTCGGTACAACTGAGGTCTCTGACGTGACCACTGACGCTACAACGGTATCAGACACCACTGACGCTGCAACCACTGAGCCTGTCGTTGAAGTGACCACCGACGCTACTGCTTCAGGATCATCTACCACTGAGGCGGACAATATTGTTGTCGGTACAACTGAGGTCTCTGACGTGACCACTGACGCTACAACGGTATCAGACACCACTGACGCTGCAACCACTGAGTCTGTCGTTGAAGTGACCACCGACGCTACTGCTTCAGGATCATCTACCACTGAGGCGGACAATATTGTTGTCGGTACTACTGAGGTCTCTGACGTCACCACTGACGCTGCAACCACTGAGCCTGACGTTGAAGTGACCACCGACGCTACTGCTTCAGGATCATATACCCCTGAGGCGGACAATATTGTTGTCGGAACAACTGAGGTCTCTGACGTCACCAATGACGCTACAACGGTATCAGACACCACTGACGCTGCAACCACTGAGCCTGTCGTTGAAGTGACCACCGACGCTACTGCTTCAGGATCATCTACCACTGAGGCGGACAATATTGTTGTCGGTACAACTGAGGTCTCTGACGTCACCACTGACGCTGCAACGGTATCAGACACCACTGACGCTGCAACCACTGAGCCTGTCGTTGAAGTGACCACCGACGCTACTGCTTCAGGATCATCTACCACTGAGGCGGACAATATTGTTGTCGGTACAACTGAGGTCTCTGACGTCACCACTGACGCTGCAACAACTGAGCCTGTCGTTGAAGTGACCACCGACGCTAATGCTTCAGGATCATCTACCACTGAGGCGGACAATATTGTTGTCGGTACAACTGAGGTCTCTGACGTCACCACTGACGCTGCAACGGTATCAGACACCACTGACGCTGCAACCACTGAGCCTGTCGTTGAAGTGACCACCGACGCTAATGCTTCAGGATCATCTACCACTGAGGCGGACAATATTGTTGTCGGTACAACTGAGGTCTCTGACGTCACCACTGACGCTACAACGGTATCAGACACCACTGACGCTGCAACCACTGAGCCTGTCGTTGAAGTGACCACCGACGCTACTGCTTCAGGATCATCTACCACTGAGGCGGACAATATTGTTGTCGGTACAACTGAGGTCTCTGACGTCACCACTAACGCTTCGACGGAATCAGACACAACTGACGCTGCAACCACTGAGCCTGTCGTTGAAGTGACCACCGACGCTACTGCTTCAGGATCATCTACCACTGAGGCGGACAATATTGTTGTCGGTACAACTGAGGTCTCTGACGTCACAACTGACGCTGCAACGGTATCAGACACCACTGACGCTGCAACCACTGAGCCTGTCGTTGAAGTGACCACCGACGCTACTGCTTCAGGATCATCTACCACTGAGGCGGACAATATTGTTGTCGGTACAACTGAGGTCTCTGACGTCACCACTGACGCTACAACGGTATCAGACACCACTGACGCTGCAACCACTGAGCCTGTCGTTGAAGTGACCACCGACGCTACTGCTTCAGGATCATCTACCACTGAGGCGGACAATATTGTTGTCGGTACAACTGAGGTCTCTGACGTCACCACTGACGCTGCAACAACTGAGGCTGTCGTTGAAGTGACCACCGACGCTACTGCTTCAGGATCATCTACCACTGAGGCGGACAATATTGTTGTCGGTACAACTGAGGTCTCTGACGTCACCACTGACGCTGCAACGGTATCAGACACCACTGACGCTGCAACCACTGAGCCTGTCGTTGAAGTGACCACCGACGCTAATGCTTCAGGATCATCTACCACTGAGGCGGACAATATTGTTGTCGGTACAACTGAGGTCTCTGACGTCACCACTGACGCTACAACGGTATCAGACACCACTGACGCTGCAACCACTGAGCCTGTCGTTGAAGTGACCACCGACGCTACTGCTTCAGGATCATCTACCACTGAGGCGGACAATATTGTTGTCGGTACAACTGAGGTCTCTGACGTCACCACTGACGCTGCAACGGTATCAGACACCACTGACGCTGCAACCACTGAGCCTGTCGTTGAAGTGACCACCGACGCTACTGCTTCAGGATCATCTACCACTGAGGCGGACAATATTGTTGTCGGTACAACTGAGGTCTCTGACGTGACCACTGACGCTACAACGGTATCAGACACCACTGACGCTGCAACCACTGAGTCTGTCGTTGAAGTGACCACCGACGCTACTGCTTCAGGATCATCTACCACTGAGGCGGACAATATTGTTGTCGGTACTACTGAGGTCTCTGACGTCACCACTGACGCTACAACGGTATCAGACACCACTGACGCTGCAACCACTGAGCCTGTCGTTGAAGTGACCACCGACGCTACTGCTTCAGGATCATCTACCACTGAGGCGGACAATATTGTTGTCGGTACAACTGAGGTCTCTGACGTCACCACTGACGCTGCAACAACTGAGCCTGTCGTTGAAGTGACCACCGACGCTACTGCTTCAGGATCATCTACCACTGAGGCGGACAATATTGTTGTCGGTACAACTGAGGTCTCTGACGTCACCACTGACGCTGCAACGGTATCAGACACCACTGACGCTGCAACCACTGAGCCTGTCGTTGAAGTGACCACCGACGCTACTGCTTTAGGATCATCTACCACTGAGGCGGACAATATTGTTGTCGGTACAACTGAGGTCTCTGACGTCACCACTGACGCTACAACGGTATCAGCCACCACTGACGCTGCAACCACTGAGCCTGTCGTTGAAGTGACCACCGACGCTACTGCTTCAGGATCATCTACCACTGAGGCGGACAATATTGTTGTCGGTACAACTGAGGTCTCTGACGTCACCACTGACGCTGCAACGGTATCAGACACCACTGACGCTGCAACCACTGAGCCTGTCGTTGAAGTGACCACCGACGCTACTGCTTCAGGATCATCTACCACTGAGGTGGACAATATTGTTGTCGGTACAACTGAGGTCTCTGACGTCACTACTAACGCTTCGACGGAATCAGACACCATTGACGCTGAAACCACTGAGCCTGTCGTTGAAGTGACCACCGACGCTACTGCTTCAGGATCATCTACCACTGAGGCGGACAATATTGTTGTCGGTACAACTGAGGTCTCTGACATCACCACTGACGCTACAACGGTATCAGACACCACTGATGCTGCAACCACTGAGCCTGTCGTTGAAGTGACCACCGACGCTACTGCTTCAGGATCATCTACCATTGAGGCGGACAATATTGTTGTCGGTACAACTGAGGTTTCTGACGTCACCACTGACGCTACAACGGTATCAGACACCACTGACGCTGCAACCACTGAGCCTGTCGTTGAAGTGACCACCGACGCTACTGCTTCAGGATCATCTACCACTGAGGCGGACAATATTGTTGTCGGTACAACTGAGGTCTCTGACGTGACCACTGACGCTACAACAACTGAGCCTGTCGTTGAAGTGACCACCGACGCTACTGCTTCAGGATCATCTACCACTGAGGCGGACAATATTGTTGTCGGTACAACTGAGGTCTCTGACGTCACCACTGACGCTGCAACGGTATCAGACACCACTGACGCTGCAACCACTGAGCCTGTCGTTGAAGTGACCACCGACGCTAATGCTTCAGGATCATCTACCACTGAGGCGGACAATATTGTTGTCGGTACAACTGAGGTCTCTGACGTCACCACTGACGCTACAACGGTATCAGACACCACTGACGCTGCAACCACTGAGCCTGTCGTTGAAGTGACCACCGACGCTACTGCTTCAGGATCATCTACCACTGAGGCGGACAATATTGTTGTCGGTACAACTGAGGTCTCTGACGTCACCACTGACGCTGCAACAACTGAGGCTGTCGTTGAAGTGACCACCGACGCTACTGCTTCAGGATCATCTACCACTGAGGCGGACAATATTGTTGTCGGTACAACTGAGGTCTCTGACGTCACCACTAACGCTTCGACGGAATCAGACACAACTGACGCTGCAACCACTGAGCCTGTCGTTGAAGTGACCACCGACGCTACTGCTTCAGGATCATCTACCACTGAGGCGGACAATATTGTTGTCGGTACAACTGAGGTCTCTGACGTCACCACTGACGCTGCAACGGTATCAGACACCACTGACGCTGCAACCACTGAGCCTGTCGTTGAAGTGACCACCGACGCTAATGCTTCAGGATCATCTACCACTGAGGCGGACAATATTGTTGTCGGTACAACTGAGGTCTCTGACGTCACCACTGACGCTACAACGGTATCAGACACCACTGACGCTGCAACCACTGAGCCTGTCGTTGAAGTGACCACCGACGCTACTGCTTCAGGATCATCTACCACTGAGGCGGACAATATTGTTGTCGGTACAACTGAGGTCTCTGACGTCACCACTGACGCTGCAACAACTGAGCCTGTCGTTGAAGTGACCACCGACGCTACTGCTTCAGGATCATCTACCACTGAGGCGGACAATATTGTTGTCGGTACAACTGAGGTCTCTGACGTCACCACTGACGCTGCAACGGTATCAGACACCACTGACGCTGCAACCACTGAGCCTGTCGTTGAAGTGACCACCGACGCTACTGCTTTAGGATCATCTACCACTGAGGCGGACAATATTGTTGTCGGTACAACTGAGGTCTCTGACGTCACCACTGACGCTACAACGGTATCAGGCACCACTGACGCTGCAACCACTGAGCCTGTCGTTGAAGTGACCACCGACGCTAATGCTTCAGGATCATCTACCACTGAGGCGGACAATATTGTTGTCGGTACAACTGAGGTCTCTGACGTCACCACTGACGCTACAACGGTATCAGACACCACTGACGCTGCAACCACTGAGCCTGTCGTTGAAGTGACCACCGACGCTACTGCTTCAGGATCATCTACCACTGAGGCGGACAATATTGTTGTCGGTACAACTGAGGTCTCTGACGTCACCACTGACGCTGCAACGGTAACAGACACCACTGACGCTGCAACCACTGAGCCTGTCGTTGAAGTGACCACCGACGCTAATGCTTCAGGATCATCTACCACTGAGGCGGACAATATTGTTGTCGGTACAACTGAGGTCTCTGACGTCACCACTGACGCTACAACGGTATCAGACACCACTGACGCTGCAACCACTGAGCCTGTCGTTGAAGTGACCACCGACGCTACTGCTTCAGGATCATCTACCACTGAGGCGGACAATATTGTTGTCGGTACAACTGAGGTCTCTGACGTCACCACTGACGCTGCAACAACTGAGGCTGTCGTTGAAGTGACCACCGACGCTACTGCTTCAGGATCATCTACCACTGAGGCGGACAATATTGTTGTCGGTACAACTGAGGTCTCTGACGTCACCACTAACGCTTCGACGGAATCAGACACAACTGACGCTGCAACCACTGAGCCTGTCGTTGAAGTGACCACCGACGCTACTGCTTCAGGATCATCTACCACTGAGGCGGACAATATTGTTGTCGGTACAACTGAGGTCTCTGACGTCACCACTGACGCTGCAACGGTATCAGACACCACTGACGCTGCAACCACTGAGCCTGTCGTTGAAGTGACCACCGACGCTAATGCTTCAGGATCATCTACCACTGAGGCGGACAATATTGTTGTCGGTACAACTGAGGTCTCTGACGTCACCACTGACGCTACAACGGTATCAGACACCACTGACGCTGCAACCACTGAGCCTGTCGTTGAAGTGACCACCGACGCTACTGCTTCAGGATCATCTACCACTGAGGCGGACAATATTGTTGTCGGTACAACTGAGGTCTCTGACGTCACCACTGACGCTGCAACAACTGAGCCTGTCGTTGAAGTGACCACCGACGCTACTGCTTCAGGATCATCTACCACTGAGGCGGACAATATTGTTGTCGGTACAACTGAGGTCTCTGACGTCACCACTGACGCTGCAACGGTATCAGACACCACTGACGCTGCAACCACTGAGCCTGTCGTTGAAGTGACCACCGACGCTACTGCTTTAGGATCATCTACCACTGAGGCGGACAATATTGTTGTCGGTACAACTGAGGTCTCTGACGTCACCACTGACGCTACAACGGTATCAGGCACCACTGACGCTGCAACCACTGAGCCTGTCGTTGAAGTGACCACCGACGCTACTGCTTCAGGATCATCTACCACTGAGGCGGACAATATTGTTGTCGGTACAACTGAGGTCTCTGACGTCACCACTGACGCTGCAACGGTATCAGACACCACTGACGCTGCAACCACTGAGCCTGTCGTTGAAGTGACCACCGACGCTACTGCTTCAGGATCATCTACCACTGAGGTGGACAATATTGTTGTCGGTACAACTGAGGTCTCTGACGTCACTACTAACGCTTCGACGGAATCAGACACCATTGACGCTGAAACCACTGAGCCTGTCGTTGAAGTGACCACCGACGCTACTGCTTCAGGATCATCTACCACTGAGGCGGACAATATTGTTGTCGGTACAACTGAGGTCTCTGACATCACCACTGACGCTACAACGGTATCAGACACCACTGATGCTGCAACCACTGAGCCTGTCGTTGAAGTGACCACCGACGCTACTGCTTCAGGATCATCTACCACTGAGGCGGACAATATTGTTGTCGGTACAACTGAGGTCTCTGACGTCACCACTATCGCTTCGACGGAATCAGACACAACTGACGCTGCAACCACTGAGCCTGTCGTTGAAGTGACCACCGACGCTACTGCTTCAGGATCATCTACCACTGAGGCGGACAATATTGTTGTCGGTACAACTGAGGTCTCTGACGTCACCACTGACGCTGCAACGGTATCAGACACCACTGACGCTGCAACCACTGAGCCTGTCGTTGAAGTGACCACCGACGCTACTGCTTCAGGATCATCTACCACTGAGGCGGACAATATTGTTGTCGTTACAACTGAGGCCTCTGACGTCACCACTGACGCTGCAACGGTATCAGACACAACTGACGCTGCAACCACTGAGCCAGTCGTTGAAGTGACCACCGACGCTACTGCTTCAGGATCATCTACCACTGAGGAGTGTGCCAGTGATGTCATAACCACAGAAGTCAGCGACGTCACCACTGACGCTGCAACGGTATCAGACACCACTGACGCTGCAACCACTGAGCCTGTCGTTGAAGTGACCACCGACGCTACTGCTTCAGGATCATCTACCACTGAGGCGGACAATATTGTTGTCGGTACAACTGAGGTCTCTGACGTCACCACTGACGCTGCAACGGTATCAGACACCACTGACGCTGCAACCACTGAGCCTGTCGTTGAAGTGACCACCGACGCTAATGCTTCAGGATCATCTACCACTGAGGCGGACAATATTGTTGTCGGTACAACTGAGGTCTCTGACGTCACCACTGACGCTGCAACAACTGAGCCTGTCGTTGAAGTGACCACCGACGCTACTGCTTCAGGATCATCTACCACTGAGGCGGACAATATTGTTGTCGGTACAACTGAGGTCTCTGACGTCACCACTGACGCTGCAACGGTATCAGACACCACTGACGCTGCAACCACTGAGCCTGTCGTTGAAGTGACCACCGACGCTACTGCTTCAGGATCATCTACCACTGAGGTGGACAATATTGTTGTCGGTACAACTGAGGTCTCTGACGTCACTACTAACGCTTCGACGGAATCAGACACCACTGACGCTGAAACCACTGAGCCTGTCGTTGAAGTGACCACCGACGCTACTGCTTCAGGATCATCTACCACTGAGGCGGACAATATTGTTGTCGGTACAACTGAGGTCTCTGACGTCACCACTGACGCTACAACGGTATCAGACACCACTGACGCTGCAACCACTGAGCCTGTCGTTGAAGTGACCACCGACGCTACTGCTTCAGGATCATCTACCACTGAGGTCGACAATATTGTTGTCGGTACAACTGAGGTCTCTGACGTCACTACTAACGCTTCGACGGAATCAGACACCACTGACGCTGAAACCACTGAGCCTGTAGTTGAAGTGACCACCGACGCTGCTCCTTCAGGATCATCTACCACTGAGGCGGACAATATTGTTGTCGGTACAACTGAGGTCTCTGACGTCACCACTGACGCTACAACGGTATCAGACACCACTGACGCTGCAACCACTGAGCCTGTCGTTGAAGTGACCACCGACGCTACTGCTTCAGGATCATCTACCACTGAGGTGGACAATATTGTTGTCGGTACAACTGAGGTCTCTGACGTCACTACTAACGCTTCGACGGAATCAGACACCACTGACGCTGAAACCACTGAGCCTGTAGTTGAAGTGACCACCGACGCTACTGCTTCAGGATCATCTACCACTGAGGCGGACAATATTGTTGTCGTTACAACTGAGGTCTCTGACGTCACCACTGACGCTGCAACGGTATCAGACACAACTGACGCTGCAACCACTGACCCAGTCGTTGAAGTGACCACCGACGCTACTGCTTTAGGATCATCTACCACTGAGGAGTGTGCCAGTGATGTCATATCCACAGAAGTCAGCGACGTCACCACTGACGCTGCAACGGTATCAGACACTACTGACGCTGCAACCACTGAGCCTGTCGTTGAAGTGACCACCGACGCTACTGCTTCAGGATCATCTCCCACTGAGGCGGACAATATTGTTGTCGGAACAACTGATGTCTCTGACGTCACCACTGACGCTGCAACGGTATCAGACACCACTGACGCTGCAACCACTGAGCCTGTCGTTGAAGTGACCACCGACGCTAATGCTTCAGGATCATCTACCACTGAGGCGGACAATATTGTTGTCGGTACAACTGAGGTCTCTGACGTCACCACTGACGCTGCAACCACTGAGCCTGTCGTTGAAGTGACCACCGACGCTACTGCTTCAGGATCATCTACCACTGAGGCGGACAATATTGTTGTCGGTACAACTGAGGTCTCTGACGTCACCACTGACGCTGCAACGGTATCAGACACCACTGACGCTGCAACCACTGAGCCTGTCGTTGAAGTGACCACCGACGCTACTGCTTCAGGATCATCTACCATTGAGGCGGACAATATTGTTGTCGGTACAACTGAGGTTTCTGACGTCACCACTGACGCTACAACGGTATCAGACACCACTGACGCTGCAACCACTGAGCCTGTCGTTGAAGTGACCACCGACGCTACTGCTTCAGGATCATCTACCACTGAGGCGGACAATATTGTTGTCGGTACAACTGTGGTCTCTGACGTCACCACTGACGCTGCAACCACTGAGCCTGTCGTTGAAGTGACCACCGACGCTACTGCTTCAGGATCATCTACCACTGAGGCGGACAATATTGTTGTCGGTACAACTGAGGTCTCTGACGTCACCACTGACGCTGCAACGGTATCAGACACCGCTGACGCTGCAACCACTGAGCCTGTCGTTGAAGTGACCACCGACGCTACTGCTTCAGGATCATCTACCATTGAGGCGGACAATATTGTTGTCGGTACAACTGAGGTTTCTGACGTCACCACTGACGCTACAACGGTATCAGACACCACTGACGCTGCAACCACTGAGCCTGTCGTTGAAGTGACCACCGACGCTACTGCTTCAGGATCATCTACCACTGAGGCGGACAATATTGTTGTCGGTACAACTGAGGTCTCTGACGTGACCACTGACGCTACAACGGTATCAGACACCACTGACGCTGCAACCACTGAGCCTGTCGTTGAAGTGACCACCGACGCTACTGCTTCAGGATCATCTACCACTGAGGCGGACAATATTGTTGTCGGTACAACTGAGGTCTCTGACGTGACCACTGACGCTACAACGGTATCAGACACCACTGACGCTGCAACCACTGAGTCTGTCGTTGAAGTGACCACCGACGCTACTGCTTCAGGATCATCTACCACTGAGGCGGACAATATTGTTGTCGGTACTACTGAGGTCTCTGACGTCACCACTGACGCTGCAACCACTGAGCCTGACGTTGAAGTGACCACCGACGCTACTGCTTCAGGATCATATACCCCTGAGGCGGACAATATTGTTGTCGGAACAACTGAGGTCTCTGACGTCACCAATGACGCTACAACGGTATCAGACACCACTGACGCTGCAACCACTGAGCCTGTCGTTGAAGTGACCACCGACGCTACTGCTTCAGGATCATCTACCACTGAGGCGGACAATATTGTTGTCGGTACAACTGAGGTCTCTGACGTCACCACTGACGCTGCAACGGTATCAGACACCACTGACGCTGCAACCACTGAGCCTGTCGTTGAAGTGACCACCGACGCTACTGCTTCAGGATCATCTACCACTGAGGCGGACAATATTGTTGTCGGTACAACTAAAGTCCCTGACTCAACCACTGATTCTTCATATGCAGTCTCTTCAGAACGACCACTTCTTACCACCGATTCTTCAGTTATAACGACAACATCTAAAGTATCGACGCCTATGTCATCAACCATTAAACCCGGTGTGTATGAAGGAATCACAGATGCACCTTGTAATGAATTCGATGTGATTCTTGGTTCTGGATGCAACGAAGATAAAATCGAATCTTTTGAAGAAACTTCTGACCCACCGTGTGGTGAAAGTGCAGACGTCGAATTGGACTCCGGTTGCAGTGAAGATTCAACAGACACTCTTCTTGCTTCTTCGACTCCTATATCTGAAAAAATATCTTTCCAAGATACTGAGACAACCACCTCTAAAACTTATTCACCTGAAAAAATTACAAATCCGCCTTGTAATGAATCTGTGAATGGCAATGAAGATGTGAGTTATAGTGAAGATAAAACAGAATCCACATTTAGTACGTCAAGTCCTGTTACTGAGAAAGATGTATCTTCCGAAGATTATAAATTTGGGACCACAACATCAAAGACTTATTCATTTGAAGAAATTACGAACGCACCTTGCGATGAAACTGTGAATGACAGCAAAGATGCTGGTTGTAGTGAAGATGTAACAGAACCCACAGTAAGTACAGTACGCTCTATTACTGACAACGACGTTGTTTTCGAAGATTATAAATTAGAGACTACAACATCAAAGACTTATTCATTTGAAGAAATTACCAACGCGCCTTGTGATGAAACTGTGAATGACAGTAAAGATGCTAATTGTAGCGAAGATATCACAGAATTTACAGTTAGTACAGTAGGTCCTATTACTACAACATCAAAAACTGATTCACTTGAAGAAATTCCGAACGCGCCTTGTGATGAAACTGAGATTGGCAGTAAAGATGCTGATTGTAGCGCAGATATAACAGAATCTACAGTTAGTACTGTAAGTCCTATTCCTGATGAAGACGTATCTTCCAAAGATTATAATTTTGAGACAACAACATCAAAAACTTACTCACTTGGAGAGATTACGAACGCGCCTTGTGATGAAACTGTGAATGACAGTCAAGATGCTGGTTGTAGTGAAGATATAACAGAATCCACAGTTAGTACATTAAGACCTGTTTCTGATGAAGATGTATCTTTCAAAGATAATAATCCTGAGACAACAACATCAAAGACTTACTCCCTTGAAGAGATTACGAACGCGCCTTGTGATGAAACTGTGAATGACAGTCAAGATGCTGGTTGTAGTGAAGATATAACAGAATCCACATTTAGTACAGTAAGTCCTATTACTGAAGAAGACGTATTTTCTGAAGATTATAAATTTGAGAATACAACATCAAAAACTGATTCACTTGAAGAAATTCCGAACGCGCCTTGTGATGAAACTGAGATTGACAGTAAAGATGCTGATTGTAGCGAAGATACAACAGAATCTACAGTTAGTACAGTAAGTCCTATTACTGAAGAAGACGAATCTTCTGAAGATTATAAATTAGAGACTGCAACATCAAAAAGTGATTCACTTGAAGAAATTGCGAACGCGCCTTGTGATGAAACTGAGATTGGCAGTAAAGATGCTGATTGTAGCGAAGATATAACAGAATATACAGTTAGTACATTAAGACCTGTTGCTGGCGAAGATGTATTTTTCGAAGACAATAATCCTGAGACAACAACATCACAGACAAATTTAATTGAAGAAATTACGAACGCGCCTTGCAATGAATCTTTGGATGTAATTGTAGACGCTGGTTGTAGTGAAGATGTTACGGATTCCGCTATCACTACTTTTAATCCTGCATCAGATGAAGATAATGAGACAACAACCTCTAACAGTAATTTAGTTGAAGATCTTACTCATGCACCTTGTGATGAAGGCGATGATAGTAGCTTGAACACTAATTGTGATGAAGATGTCACAGCGGTTAGTTCCATTGAGACTTCTACTCCTGGTTACAGAAACGAAGATATTTCAGAAACAATCGTAGTCGAAGATGTCACATTTAAAGCAACTTCAAAATCTGAGTCAGCATCACTTGAAGAAATAACTCACGCACCTTGTGATGAAACTACCAATGGTAATTTGGACACTGATTGTATTGAAGACTTAACTGAGTCAGCGGTTAGTACTGATAATGCAGAAACAACTACTAGTAATCCAGTATCAGATAACTCTTTCTGTGAAGAAGATGAAATACCAATTTTGCGGACCACGACAACTACGACGTCTACACCAAAAACTGTACTTGATAAAGTACGCGACGCCTTAACTATATGGTGAAATGGATTTAGCTGAATTGTAATACTTGTTATGTCCTTCAAAACCACACAAAATAGCAACACATGTATTAAATCAGGAACATTATTCTGTAGACTATAATTGAAAGACTTTGAATTTTCATTAAATATTTCGCAGTTCTTAATAAGATTTTTAATACTGTCATCTTGTAGGTGGATATATAGCGATATCCCTTATTCTTATACTGACAACTGCAACATTATGTTTTAACAACGTAATAAGCATTAATATATCTTGTGTTGCTATTTGAATGATGTAGGGTATCTATGATTTATATGAATAAAGTTTGATTGCATAATGTTTGTATTTTATTTTGCCGCAATACTGATCGAACACGATATTATATATATGTATACGAGTACCTACCTAATGTCCGTTAGCGAATCAAAGGATGCGAAGAATTAATCAATTATAATATATGTAATTGTTAAAAAAAATGAATCATCTCGATATGAACAATAATTAACAGTTGGTTTTAGATCAGTGCAACAAGAGTTTTTCAATTTTTATTCTACCAGGTTCTGCTGACGCTTTTGCCAGCAGTACAGGGTAAACAGTTGTCTATGTATAACTTCAGACTAGAATCTACCCTGTGGTAAAATTCATACAGAAACCTTCACTATTTGTATGTGAACATCTAGGTAAGAAAGATACACACAATTATAAACTTTCAAGTATATAATAATACTTGTTGATTAGAATGAGAATTAAAATCACAAATTTCGAACCTATCCATAATAATAACTTACTTACTTGTATTTGTAAATAATAGGACGAAAATAAATACGAACGATATACACTTAAGCAAAGAAAGAATTAATTTATTTTTGTAAATAGGCCATAAAACAGCACCTTTACGCGACAAAGTTATATGTAAAAAAAACTAGATGGACACGGCATTTCCTATCCAACTACTCTGAGAAGAAATACTGAAACTTACTCCAGAGGTCCGTCTCTTTTCAAGTTCAGACAATGTAACAAAACAACATAATGTGTGAGAATGTGATTTCTTTTTTTTGCCATTCCTTTATTACTTGTAACTGCCACGTCGATAAGGTCAGTTTTTAAGATTATAGGTACTATAACACATCTTACGTTTTCAGCCGGGTTTGCGAGGCAAACGCAATCAGGCAGCGCGGCCTCGGCCTAAAGCAAGAAAAAGGAACGGGGGATATTAGTCAGTAAGAGTCTGACACTCCCTCTCGTCCCACGGTGGGAGAAGTGATTCCATGATTTTTCCCTAAAAAAAAACTAACTTTCTTTGTCGTTTACAAAACATAGCGCCACGCCTATTAACCGCTGAATAATACAAGATTTTTAATTCTGAGAGTTTGAGAGACCGACGTTTCTGCGCGAATCAGTCCATTCATGACATTGTGTTTCGCATTTCCGGAGGCCTAATCCTCCCTTCTCCTGCCCGATCCTCAATCAGAAATCCCCTTTTCTTTAATCCCTAATTACCCTCCAAAAGGCCTGTAACGCACTTGTACCAGCTTCTTTGGTGTGTTCATGGGCAGCATCCATTGCTTACCATCAGGTAATACGGATGTTCTTTTACCGACCTATCGATTAAAGAAATAGAATATACTTTATAACTTGCTTTTTTATACTAATTTATCTTTATATTTATTTTAATTTTATAATATTATAAAGAGATAAAATTTGGTAGTTTGTACGTATGTTTGTAAGTTTGTATGGAGGGGGTAATCTTAAGAACCGCTAGTCGGATTTCTAAAATTCTTCCGCTGATAGATAGCTACAATGTTCTTGAGTGCTATAGGCTATAAAACATCACGCTACGACTAAATAGAGCCGAGCAGCGGGAGAAACCGCGCGAGAGTAGCTAGACCACCAATATAATTTGAAGTGCCATAAGTTTGTGTGAGCTTATTACGACATAATTACTCTTTTATCTGTCTGGATTTTGCAGTTCCACGTAAGTTTTAGGGTATCATTCGTTGTGGCTGTGGTTTTACGTGATTTAATTCATATTGTTAGTTATTTTCTATGGCACATCGTAAGTAGTTACTTGAAGTAAATTGTAGCACTGTATCTGCACTGTTATTAGAATTATGTTCATTTGGAAACAAGTATTAATATGAAATAAACAGTCACAAAAAAAAACAACAATAAGATTTCCATTTATTGTACTATCACAAATAATGAACAGAATACTTTGACTTATTTAAGAGTTGTTACGCTGACAACATCTTGATCTACGAACGAGATAGTCGAATTCCTTTTACATGTCAATTCTATTAAGTAAAAACATTAAACGTTCCGCTTTCCTCTTCAATCAGATTGCTGCGCCAAATATTCATAATCATGTGTGTAGGTAATATCATCAGAGCAATAAAATATCAATAAGTGACGTCACGACACAAGATAAAAGTTAAAGTGAAAGGGAAGCGTTATTTCGCACCGTCTCGCAACCGGTTCCATGGTGTAATGGTTAGCACTCTGGACTTTGAATCCAGCGATCCGAGTTCAAATCTCGGTGGAACCTTATTTTATTTTTAAAACAGATTATTTCATATCTCTGTTATTTCGGATTGTAACAATACTTATGTAAAACTGTCGTACTTAGCAATTTACTTGATAAAATATCTAATGATGTATTTCGGATTTTTTAACAAAGATAAAAGTGCAATGAGCTTTTATTAAAAATAAAACAAAAATAAACCTATTACAAAATAATTTTATTAATTCAATGTATTTATAAGATAGACTGCCAACTTGAGGTCGATGACTTCATTTTATTGGTAGACGAGGCCAGTCTTTTTAGGTCAACCACCTCAAAATCTTATATAATTTTGTTTACACCAATCACTCTGCGATATCTTTACCATATTGGTTGAAATACGTCGGCAGCCCACAGTTCAAATCCCTCCAAGCTTCATAGTTTATAGCAGGTATGTTTTCACAACTGACCATTTTGTTGCTATGAAAAAAAAGAAAATAATTTTAATAAATATTAATAATAAAAAATAAAAACTTGGTAAGATTTTAACTTTCGTTTGAAGGCAATGCAAATCAAATAAACTCAGAAAATAGACTTGGGTAATGAAACACTTTAGATATACATATTTATTTATGAATTTAGAGCTGATTTTTCAATAGTCAGAGAAATGTTATCTGAGGAATGAAATTGTTGCTGTCACTGTCTTATACAAACATTCTGATGCGACAGCATAATAATTATTCCCCGGCAGCTAACGTTTATTTAGCATATCATAAAATATCAGCATAATCAGTTGAAGGTGTTTTGATTTGTCATAAAAATAGTATTTATCTTCAACTTTAATATTAATTAATATTTAAAAGCCACGATCTGAATTAAAGTAGTAAGAATTGGATCAAAATTTTTTTTTTTTGCCGATGATGTTATCTTTGATACATCTATGTTTAATTAAAACATGCTAACAATGGTCTAAGAAAAAATAAAATAACAATTATGGAATAACTTACTTGAATCCAGCCTTCAAGAAAGCGTGTGGTTGAATCTTAGTAACTTTGTCTCCAATGTCACACAGAAGTCTTGCAATGGTATATTTTCTTATTTCGCCCAGTTGGACTATAAAATAAAACAAACAAGTAAAACAAATGACTATCAAACTATGAATCAATCTTAAAAAAATCCATAAAATGACACTTCATCAATATTTATCCAATAAATGAGAGGAACCAGATGCAGTTAGTATGGGAGAGTCACCCTTCGGCACGAATGGCAAGCTCAACTTAAGTGATACCAAGGCCTCACAGAAAACCAGTTGGAGAAAAAATGTGATTGAGGTTATCCGAGGCCCGATCTTTATTCCCTTACCCAATCCTTAATCCTTATCCCTAATATATCGACAAAGCATAAGTAACTCGTATTCACAACGATGTTGCCCAGGGCGAGGCCGAATACTTCAAGTGATTTGTCCTATTAGATACCAATAAACAAGATGATTTATGTAAATGACAAAATGTTACCATAAACATCAGATTTATTACCACAAATTCCAAAAACACACATTGTTCATCTCATCATCATCATCATCATCAGCCAATAAGTGCCCACTGTTGAGCAAAGGCCTCTTCTCTTTATTAATAAATGCTCTAACCTTCTCCGTATGACCACGCTTGCTCAATGCGGGTTGGCGATTCCAAACTTATAATTAGAAATTATAAGTCCAGGTTTCTTCACGATGTTTACCTTCATCGTATGTCAGTGGTATCTAAATAATCATAGAAAGTACATATAACTTGGAAAAAGTCACATTGGTACTTGCCAGGTTTCGAACCCACCCTCATGCATGAGAAGCGGGCTTCTAACTTCAGGGCTACCACGACTTTTCTACTAAAGACTCATTCATTTACTAAAGTGAATTTAAAGTTACTTACGTGCGTTAAAAGCATTGGGACGGTTTGGTCTCTCATACCAATGTCTATCGGAAATCATGTTTCTTCTCAGCTGGTCTATGGTCAAGCAATAGAATGTTGGAGGAACGTATCCGCCATAAATTGGTCTTTCAACCCAAATACCAGCTAACAGATCTACATCTTCTACCTTTTCATAAAGATCTCTAAGAATCTCAATCCTCTGAAATACCAAAATATTAGTTACTTACTGCTTTATGTCATCATAAAGCAGCGAATTGAGTTAGCGTAGGAAAGTCGTCACCACTACTGATCGATATGAAGAAACGGAGACAACCTCTATTAAAATCATAGTTTGAGAAGTTGATAAAATTTTAGTAAAGTATCAGTATAACGCCATTTTAAGTAATATAATTCTTAATTTTTGAGAAAACATGTTTCAGAACTTTATAACGGCAATATTTAAGAGAATCCAAATAGTATAAATAGAAAAAAATATATACCTCAGGGTCCACAATGCCTTCAAGGTCATAGAACGAGCGGATTGGTTTTCCAAAGCATGCCTCTCTATACTTGACGTAAGGTTGGAATCCAAAGTATCTGTTTTTAGCCATATCGTTGGTCATCAAATCTGACACGCTTTGGTGAGGGCCTAAACCTTGTTCTGTAATCTAAAACATAAAACAACCATAGTTTAGACTCATTTTACATTGACGGATTTCGATGTGTCTGAATACAACTGTCCATCAGTCTGTTGATCAGTGATGCTAAGGATAGTGGTAAAATATTATTGTAATTTTGTTTGTTGAATAAAGTAATAATAAATAGGGATTCTACTTGTATGGCAGACCCGGGGGTTGTGGTGCAATCTCTGACCGAGGCAGTAAAAGAAACAATGGGTTTTAGTCAGCGAGAGTCTGTCACTAGTCACTACCACTTGGTCTAGCCTGGACGGGAGAAATTATGATATGGGTTTTCTTCCTCGGAGTTCATCTTATTAAAGGATCTATTAATTTTTTATGTGAGTTAGGAATCATACACTACCTACCCTAGTATATATTTTGCTTGAACTCAAAGATGACAAACTTGGTATTAAATATACAATCACACTACACATACATACATTACATTGTTAGTTAAGTTCCCTAATTAATAACTTACATCAGGATCAGCAATGTAGTCAATCTTGGCGCTTCCCTGTCTAAAGCTTCCTTGAGTGATGTAATCAATGTTATTATCAACGTCAAAGTACCCAGTTCTCAATGTAAGGTTAACTATGGGGAACTGTTTCAAGTAGTGTCCCTCCAGGTCGTACATTCTGGAAGTTTCAAAAATATTCATTTTATTAAAACCATCAACGTCAGCCAGCGTCTTCGCCGGCGTTTTCTGGATGAAAAGTAGCTTACGAGTTTTCTAAACTGTAGTCTACCTTTGAGTCCAATTTTAACCAATTTTACAAATCTACAATATATCACATAAAAGTAGTAGGACATTTTTAACCGACTTCAAAAAAGGAGGAGGTTCTCAATTCGACGCGTATTTTTTTTTTTTTTTATGTATGTACATCGATTACTCGAAGACGCCTGGACCGATTTGCAAAATTCTTTTTTTATTCGATAGGGTATACTTGCCATTTGGTCCCATTGTCATGAGGTCAGGATCTGACGATGGAATCCTGGAGAAACCGAGGGGAACTTTCGAAAATTGTAGGGGCGAGTAGTTTTTTTGTATGATGTTTAAGTAGGCCTTTAACAACACTACAACTTGACGAAGGTCGAAGTCGACCAGATGTTGGAGCTGGAAGACAGTCGAGGGATCTCCTTGACTATTTGGAGTAGTTGCCTTGTGTTTGGGCTTGAATGATTCGTATTGGCGAGCACTTTGCAGCAGGCTTGGTTGTAACTGTCATTAAGGGTCTGATGATGAGAACGAAGGACAGCTCAGGGAACTCCTGAACGGTTTACAGTAACTACTTCGTGTTTGAACTTAATTCATTTATATTGATGAAAACTTTGTACCTGTATGTATTATAACAACTGAAGGTCTGCAGTTTACCTGATGATGGAGACCATTGACCGTCTAGGGAATTCCGGATGGAACCGAGAGATAGTCGAGAGAACTCCTCAACGATTCATAGCAGCTTCCTTGTGTTTGAGCTTAATTAATTTGTTTTGATAAGAACTTTACACCTAGATGGATTGTGACTGTCATTAGGGATCTGATGATGAAGACGAAGGACAGTCTAGGGAACTCCTCAACGGTTTACAGTAGCTACCTCGTGTTTGGACTTAATTTATTTATATTGTTAAGAACTTTCCCTCTCCTAGAGAGATGGCATGTGTCCCAGTAGTGGGAACATTAAAATGGCTGATGATGATGATGATGAGAACTTTCCCATTTCTTGGGATCTATATTTTTTAATCGAGCGGCTCCTTTCGTAGGCCTACACATAGCTACTTAAAAATATATACTATTCAATATGTTAATTTATATTTAAAATGTTACTGTAGTTTACAGAAGAACTTGTAACAGACACTAAAATGTAAAAAATAAAAAAAACTACGTTTAAAAAAACCGACTTCAAAAACAAAAAAGTGTCAAATAAGTAATTAAAATTGATATTTTAATACCACTCTTACGTACGCGAAGCTAATACTTTTAATATTAATAATAAAACACTATCAATTCTGTGTGCTACCTATTCATAGGTTTGAAGTCGGTGCCAAGCCCTAAACAGAATAAAACTAAATGAGTGAATGAATTAAGACTATTTAATTGCTAAAAGACAAAATTTCCACAACTAACAACGCAGCTACCTACTACTACTTTTGACAACCAAGTACGAGAAAACTTTCAGAATTCATAATTCACCCAAATATCTTTCTAAGCTATATACAATTTCGCCGGTAACGCAACCATATAGACTTCTGATCCTACGCTAACGCCATCAAGTTAGAAAATCGGTACTAAATTTCTTAAATCCCAACAAATAAATTCACACGCGCCGGCGAGTGTAGGTACTCATGTATCATGCTTATTATATTATGTATTAGGCTTGGCACCGACTTCAAACCTATGAATAGGTAGCACACAGAATTGATAGTGTTTTATTATTAATATTAAAAGTATTAGCTTCGCGTACGTAAGAGTGGTATTAAAATATCAATTTTAATTACTTATTTGACACTTTTTTGTTTTTGAAGTCGGTTTTTTTAAACGTAGTTTTTTTTATTAGGTATTATATGTTTTTGCTTGGTGAAAAGAATTTATTGAAAAAATCATTCAACCTACTTCTGTCAGATGACAAAGTATACAAAACGTATGTATTTGTGAGAATAATAAAACAATATTGGTGTCTGCATCAAAAACGTCGAAGAACAGCAGTTCTGAATGAAAATATGCCTTATTTTTACATCTATCTAAACTCACTCACTTCAAAGACCCTTCCTGAACGGTGTGCAACCATCTCAAAGCGAAAGGGAATTCCAAGGATACTTGAGGCAGAACCTTCTCGTTATACACATCCCTAAATTCACCAGTAGGTGTGATCACTCCATCTTTAATTAAGTTTTCATAGCCTGAAACAAAAAGTATATATTAATTAATTTGTCTTTTAGTATGTACAAATGATTCGATGATTGGTAAGAAGTAGGTAGTTTAATATCTGAGGTGGTCTTTTTTTACAAAAGACGGCTAGATTTTGGGGAAAAAGACTAAGGGCCACCAATATCTGTAGGTATGGGTCACCGGGTCTTCTCAGTAGACCAAGTCAGATGTTTCTGTATTGGCCTATAAATAGTATTTTAATAGTTTCAAACATCTCGCAAATTTTCTGGAATTTTCCTATGTGATATCATAGCTTGTTACATTTGGTTTGTAAATGATAAAAAATGATTAGATATTACATTGATTACACCAGTTGATGGATTTCGCTGATTTATTAATTGGAGTTATAACTCGAGTGAGTGATTTCATAAAACTATCCTTTAACACGTTTTTTATGAAACCATAATAGATAATGTATTCGGCAATAGCATTATTTGTTCAGAATCAATATGAAAACTAAATAAAATACCAGATGGTTACGGCTATTCAGAGGTTTTTGACCCGGTCGAACGTTTTACATTTTTGAATATTAATGGTGTTGTATTTCTTCATTAAATTGACAATATCATTAAAATTTCCAAAACGAGCAGATTGAAATCGGTTGCCAAGCAAATCTATTTTTTTAAATGTTTTTTTTTTGTTGATCTTATCTGTTTTTAAATTCTATTTGTGCTTTTACAAGGACATCATTTCGCATTTATATCACACCACAAAATAAGTAAAAAATTGATAGCCAAGTGTTTACCGCGCAGTATTTAGCTACAGCAAATAAAAAGCTTTCCTTATATGTTTTGTTTTTTTTTTGTTAGTTTTTAAAATCCCTTTGATGCCCCACATAAGGATTTCTTCCAATGTTGTGGGACTTTGCACGTTGGATACGTCATCCGGTTGCCCTGCGAACGCGTCAGTGTGCAGTCTTATATTCATTGCTTACCTAAGAAAGCGGGAATCAACTCATAGTAATTGAATTGAAGGTACAGAGCGATGTTGATGTCTCTTGCAGTGTTGAACAGCCTCTCATCGTCCCAGCATGGGTTGACCTTGGCTAGCTGTGTGGCTATAAAGTTGTGGTTCCTCCACAACCAAACCGCCATGAGGTTGATACCACCCAGAGTGTTACCTCCGTCTTCCGCTGGAAGAATATTCAAGACTGTTAGAATCACGTGTAGAAGTGTAGGAGAGCCATGCTTCGGCAGGAATGGGTCGGCTTGATCGGAGTGATACCACCGCTTCACAGATAACCGACGTGAAACAACCACGGCGTTGCGTTTCGGCGTGTGAGTGAGGTTACCGGAGGCCCAATATTTCCCCTCCTCCAATCCCCAAATCTCCAAATCCCCAATCCCCAAAACGTCGGCAACGCACTCCTAACTGCTCTATTGTTGCAGGTGTCCATGGACGGCGCTGATTGCTTACCATCAGATATTCCGTCAGCTCGTTTGCCGACAAATCACATAAAAAAACGGATTTTTGTTCTACTAACGCATATCATGACATCTGGTCTCCGCAGGTCTTTGGTTTAGGAAGCAGACATTGGCCTGAGTCTTTGTGCTTGGAGGCCAAATTCTTCCACTGTCTTCTTCATACTTCAAAAGACCACCTTGGTACAGTCTCCCTTTTTCCTGTAAGTTCTTCAAGAAGTTTCCGTAAACCGAGGATAGGTCAATGCCTGGAGTTGATGAAACAATCTGGAAAAAAATTACATGTCAATAACATTCTTTATTTTTCATTAATAAACTTTGCTCCAAGTTGGATGAAACATCCAAAATATGGGGACATTAAATTAGCCTTAATATGGAAATAAGGACTACTACTGGTCACACATTAAACTGAATTCATAGTTTTAAGTCTACTCAACAATCATTTTTTAACAAAATTTGGAACGGAAAGACAGACACAAAAGGTTTTCTAAAACCTTGGCGTCTATCTCAATTCTCTCTGGTGGAAAGTAATAATGGGTGGCGGACAATGAACTACGCCTTCATATAATGTATTTATTCAAAACTTGAAGTCACTCTGGTTGTATGTAAACATAAGAAAACAAAAGGAAAGGAAACTGCGAAACTGCAAATTGGAGAAACATCAACTATAATGGTAACCGTATCATTTGTTTGTTTGTCTAAAGGTCTATTAAAGAAAACAAAATATTACTTACTCTCTCAGGAGTGGATCCCTTGGGAATGCAACCGATACTTTGGAAAGTTTCAGGTCTAGTCATGTTCAGACAACGATGGCCAGAGAAACGGTGGACCGGATCGTCATTTGGTATCTTGTTGGGAACGCAGTAAGTATCGTTTTTGCCCCTCGGAGCACAACAGTACGGTCTCCATAATATGTAGTTAACTGAAAATTATGATTTTTTTATAATTGGCTCATCTTTTTTAAGGAATCAGTCCAGTAGGTACCAGTTGAATAAATTATTTTGTGTTATTTGAAAAGATAAAATAATTAATTTCAAAATTATAACTGTTTAGCTATCACGGTTCATGATGGACTGTGGAGTTTTAGTAGTGAGATTCCTTTGATAGAGATAAGAGACCTTTGGTTACGTAACACTTAAACTACATATTGTCGATTTCTCAATGTTTTTCTTTGGTTTATTTGACATTAGAAAAAAACAAATAACATTGCAGCGTCGTGTGTCGTGCAATACTATCTACATATGTACTCATGAATATGAGACCGCAGCGTGGCTTGTAACTAGTCGAGTTCCTCGTCAAACATCGTTCAAGTTCATGGCCATCGTAGAGCACATAGCTTCACAGACAAACAGACTAACAGACTACCTAATACTATTCTATTTTGACGTTTCAAAATAGGTTCTATTTGGTAATTTCTATTTGGTTCGGTTGGGATAAATGATTTTGACTTTACTTTTGACTTTTGTCTTTGACTTTGATTTTTATCTCAAATTGCTTAACTTACTTGTGTCGTGTAGAGAAACAACGTCAGAGGATAAGAAAACAAACGCATGTATGGCCAGCTGCGTCAACCTTTGACTGGGCACTTTGCCAACAGACACCAGATTTGTTCTCAGGACACGAGGCAAAGGCAAATCATTGCCCGATGCCGCTTTCTTAGGTTCGTAATCTGCGACAAAAAATGCAATAAATTAATATACAATTATAAAATACAAAATAGAAAAAGCTTTTTTTACGAGATTGTTGTTGTGTTTATTCATTTATTTTGTATATTTTATTTTAAGAACGCTTTTAGACAAATGGAAAAAAATAACATACAAACAATGGTTGAAAAACGAGTAACAGAAAAAAAAATATTGACGTCATAGTTTTTTTTAGTCAAATACATGTTTATTTAAATAAAAGTACAAAAATTAATATATACTCTTTTGAATTGGATTCATAAGATTTACTGTGTAGTTTATTTATGTATTTATCATATTTAGAAAATATACAACTGATTTAATCATATACAAAATTATTTGAAAGTTTTAAAATGATAATTGTGTTATAACAACATAAATACGTCATTACAATGTAAATTAATTTTACTGCATAAAAAAAACAAACAATGGGTGTTTAAAATTGAAATTAAAATTAATGTGGATATTAAACAAAATAATTATAAGCAAACAACGTGAATGTAGCAAAACAAAAGACTCACTTTTATTCCACTTTCAAAAGTGTTTATAGACAGACAATTCTTTTTAAACCATAAACATATCTAATGGCGTTACGAGTATCAATTCGAACAAATACTTTTTATTATTTTGATACATCATTACAACAATAATAATAGCTTATACGTAGGATATAAGACGGATAAAGAGATGGGAAGAACCAACACTAGATGAATATGAGTAACCTAGATTTTTTAAAGTAAAGCCGCTGCGCTTCATAATATCTGATTGTAGCTAAATTAACTTAATTTGTGCCACTTTAAACCTTATAAGTAAGAACATAAGTTACAAAGGAAACTACTGTCAGTTTATACTTTATCTTGTAATTTTTACAATTTCTATTTTTCATTTTTTGACACAATAATTCATTTTTTCTCTTTTTGTAGCTCGGTAAGGAATCAGCGCCATCCCTGCAACACTAGACTAGTTACGAGTGCGTGGCTGGCCTTAGGTATAGGGGTGAAGAAAGAAGACGGGAGATTGGGCCTCCTCCGATTACCTTACGAAGTACAAATCATGAATTGTTTCTGGCGGGTTTTCTATGAGGTCTTGGTATAAAAAAAAATAAGTTAGAAAATGAATTACCTTTATCAAACGCTGGTGGTAGAATTCTGGTAAACGGGGTGTGACTAGCACCTCTGTTGGGATACCTTAAATTGTTACAGGTACCGTCAACTCTCCTGCCTTCATTGGGATCACATGGCTCAAACTCGTTCACGCACCAACTAAAACAAACAAAAGATTAATTATAAAACAATTTTATTTCTGTGTATGCTGATGGTTTTTTTTTATAAGATGAAAAACGAGCAGGTGGATTACCTGATGGTAAGCAATCCGCTTGGAGTAGTTACGGGTGCGTTGCGGACCTTTTGGGTATAAGGGTTTTGGAGATTTAGGGATTTGGTTGGGATTGGGGGAGGGAAAGTTTTCGGCTTCCGGTAACCTCACTAACATGGCGAAACATAACGTTGTTTAATATAATAAGTTTGTCATTGTAACCAAACAGACTATTCGCGCAGATTTGATAAGATTCGACCAAGAAACTACGTAGGTATAAACTGCTATTTCCAACCTATAGTTCTACAATATCCATACACTTTTGGTTTTTTACTGTAGATGAGCTTTACTTTTTAGCCTCATCCGTAATAATTTTTGTCCCAATGCGATTTTTTAGCCACATTGCTTTACTTTCAAACGAAACAGTTCATGTTAAACATGCTCTTTTTTAAGCTGGGAATACCATACATTGGCTTCCCCTAACCTGAATCAGATGAGAGGGACTGTCAGACTCTTACTGACTAAAAATCACTTCGTTTCTTCTCCTGCTCTAGACCGAGGCACTTACACCTACAACCCCGGCTAAACAGAATGCGCTTTGGGCTTTAACAATTTTAATAAAATAAAATGTAGTATTTATTAATTCATTATTATATAAAATGTAGTATTTATTCATATAAAATAATATAAAATGTAGTATAATAATAATAATCATATAAAATGTAGTATTTATTAATTCATTAATTGATTCATGCATTATAGGCCAGTCTATACAATATTACAAGTGAAGTAAGAAATCTTGTGACTGATTAATATACTGAGGATCATAAAAAGGTAGATAAAATAAAAAAAATAAGAATTTGGTTTTGCATGCGTCGGAAATTTAAAATTCAGCACTCAATCGTGATTAAAAAGATTTAAATATCATTAAAGTAAAATAAAAATGCGAAGTAAGAAAATCTTAGTTTGTTTTTTAAGTAAAATAGTAAAGACGTAAGTATAGGACAGATAGTTTATTATAATGAAACATAACACTAAAAGAGAAGACAAAATCTAAAATATTTAAAAGAAATTATTTTTATCCATTTTCAAGCGTAATTTTTGCTTATTGCTTTTAATATCATGTCAAATATTTATAATCAAATAAAATATGCATGAATCATAGCTATCATTCAAAAAATGTAATCTAGTAATTCAACCCCAATGTTTCTCACTCTTCTGCTATTTGTTATTACTAAATCTTATAAAACTATTACGAAATGTTACAAGACTATTATATAGTAGTCTATAGTTATATAGACTACTATATAATTATTATACTTAAACAATCATAGCTAAACAAGAGTGATTTTCCATTACTTATCGCAGAATCATTTAGGTAACTTACTGTTTGGCGCATAACTATCATATTAAAAAAAGATATTGAACCTTCATAATGTTAGTGTAAAAAGTATGGAACTGAAGTATAACAATTCATGATCATTATCATTGTGTTATCATCAGGATGACCTGAACATAATTACAACTTATAATTTTTCTCATATAAGTACTTACCGAAAAAACTAGTGAAAAAACATTTTTCGAAAAATCATAAAAATGAAAAGAAAGTACTCACAAAGTAGTATTGCTTTTTGAGTGACGCTTTACTTCATCCATGCCAATAGGCACGCCATAGTAAGAATCGTAGAACAACGCCGCTCGCACATCACAAAACACAGCCAAGAAAATTAACACAGGCAACATCTTAACAGACCGAACAATTAAAGCATTATAAAAATCCAACAACGAAAAATATATTGAATTAAAAAAAAACTGGTTTAAATTATGTAAATTCAGCCAGGAGCACGGTAGAGCATAGCCAAGTCAAAACAAAACGAGCACGGAGCGTTCGCAAAATAAGACTAATATAATGTTACCTGAATGTTTTTATGAGTAATTAATATATTACCTTCGTTCCGCTCCCCCCTCTTTCAGGCTTTATGTTACTCATCTAGTTGTTATTTTCATATAATTATTTTGCACGTTTCATGCATTGTGACCTTCAATTTACTTAATTCCGAATTTCTTGAAACATAACAATGAACTACATCCTTTAGTACATAGCTGCTAATGGATATCGATGCGTCATTGTTTAGTGAAATTTTTGAGCATCATCAGCCAGTGAAAAGTATAATATAGATCAACATTATTATTTTAATTGTAAAACATGTTGCTCGGCATGAATGGGTCGGCTTGACCAGAGTGATGCCACGGCCTGAAAACTCTGCGTAAAACAAAGTCAGCGTGGTTTTATTATTTTACTGAATCCCAATCCTTCTTCCTTCCGAAATTCCTCTTCCTCTAATCCATCCGAAATCCGGAAATCTCCGAAAACTAATCCTCATAAGGTCTAAGGTCAGCAACGCACTCGTTACTCCACTGGCGAGTATTGCGAGTGTCCATGGGTGGCGCCGATTACTTATAATTATTTATTATGTCTCATAAACACAAAAGACATGTTTGATAATCTAAATCATATCTTATGCAGACACTTTCACGGTTCATGTTCAAATATTATACAAAAAAATATGCATACACGTTAGATTGTTAAGGTCATTCGGTTGCTTTAGTAAAAATATAAAATTACATTCATTTAAATACGTATTTGCACTCCTTTTCCTTTAACCTTGCTCTTACACTTAAGCCTAAACTCCGGTACAAGGAAATACACATACATAACCGGTGCAAGGAATTTCCGTTTACTTGTTAATAATTTCTTAGTATATTATACTATATCTACAGAATTATATATATAGATATATAAGTGAGGGGATAATAGTATTGAGTTTGTATATAACAATAGCACATCAAATCACATCACATCATCAAGCCTATAAGTTTTAGTGGTCCCTGCTAAGCAAAGGGCCTCTTCTCACACGAAGAAGGTTTGAGCATTAATCACCATGCTTGTTCTAGGCGATGATAACGATTTTCAATTTTCAATTTATAATTATAAAATGTTCAGTCCTGGATCCCTCAGAGAGAGCCACGCTTCGGCACGAATGGGTATCGGCTTGAATGGTGTGATACCATGGCCTCACAGAAAACCGGTGTAAGACAACCACAGCGATGTTTCGCTGTGTGAGTGAGGTTACCGGAGGCCCAATCCTTCCCCTCCCCAAAACCCTGCCCAATCCCTTCCCAATCCCAAATTCTCCAAATCTTTAATCCCCAAAAAGTCAGCAATGCACTCGTAACTCCTCCTTTGTTGCGGGTGTCCATGAGCGGCGCTGATAGCCTACCATCAGGCGATCCGTCTTCTCGTTTGCCAACAAAAAAGTTACATTGGTACATGCCAGGTTTCGAACCCGAACCCTCATGCACCTGTGCCTTAACCTCCGGGCCTCCACGACCACCAGATTACAATAGCAAAGATAAATAATTGATTATTTGACATATTTTTTTATATAAAAGAAGTCTCTATTTTGGCTTGATTTATCAGTATGAAATAATCTAGTTGACTTAAGCTGTTATTGTCGCTCTGCACCAATGTTTGATCAGTTGTTTTTATTGAAGAAGCGAAACATCGTAGCTAATTTGTGAACCACGTTGTACAGAATAAAGCCTATGTTAATTTAAATTATTTTTTTTTTCAAATTAAATCAACTGTTCGGAAGTACGAAATTTGTTCACTATTGTAATATAATTATAAACATAATAGCACCTCCCATTACAACCGTGACAGACATTTTATAGCACCTCATATTACCAATTTCTAAATTTAGCAACGCACTCTTAACTTCTCCGGTTTTTTGGGCGGCCTGATTGTTTACCATCGGGATATCCGTATGATCGATTGCATCGCATTAAATTTAAAAAAACAAACATATTTTTTAATATTTTTCATCCTATTATTTAATAGAAAAAAAATATTAACAATAAAATGTTATTTACTCATTGTTTCACATTTAAATCTTGATATTTTTGTAGAAGGTCACGCTTCTGAAAATATTTCCTAGTAAACATTCTATTGTAACAACTAATTAACACAATAATTTTTTTTTTCTTTACTCATCGTAATCGTTTTTTATGACTTTTAGTTAATATAGTATGGATAAGCGTAGAAAAACCAAGTATTTTTAGTACTTAGTTTAATTTAATTCGATACGATTAAGATTTTTTTCATTTGTCAGATATTGTGATTGTAATTATTACTATAGTAAAAATGTACTGAAAATATTAAAAATAAAATTATATATTTTTCAAAATACATTAAGTTTATTTACTTTGTAGGTAAATCGTGTCTTAAAAATATATATAATTATTTATTTCATTACTAAATTTGAATAACTTAGTACGCATACCTGACTAAATGTTATAAATAATACTAATAAAGGATGCGCTAAAATAATTATTATTTATTTTAAATGCAAGAATCCAAGATTCGACTGAAATTAATAAGTGAGTAACTAAATTGCACTTTATACAAGCAAAATTTAAGTATCTTTTCTTACATTGGGTCAAGTCATCAATAGTTTCTGAAAAGAAAAAAAAGAGAAATGCAAGAAACAGAGTCTTCATCACGTATCGACTTAGTAAATTCACTATTCGCATAATAATAATTAGTTGGAAGACATTCACTGGGCTAAGGGTTGTGGTAACTCCATGCTTCACAATTAAAATGAGAGTCTGCTTGGCAATAGCGGTTTGACCACCCACAATGTAGAGTTAAGTGCATCTTTTGATAGATGATCCCGCAATCTTGGTTGAAAAAATAAGGGGTGAAAATCATCTAAAAACTTTTCCGGCCTGGTTGAAGGAAGAAGGGAGTGTCTCTTTTTGATTAAAATCCTTCTACTTCTAGGTTACCGGAGGCCCAATCCTTTTCCTCCCCCAATCCCTCCTTAATTCCTAAATCTCCAAATCAGATTTAGGAATTAAGGATAACTATCAGAGGACAAACCCAAAATAATAGCTACAAAAATAATAAGCCTTTTATTAAAATTAATATTGTATGTGTCGGAGCGTCGATTATTTAAATTGAATTTTGAAGGAGGTTTTATCACAATTCATCGGACGAGGGTACCATAAATCGTACCCTGGCGGAACGTCAAACTGGCAGTTCTGCGTGCGCATTATGGAGGAGAGCGAGCGCTGTGACTGTCATATTGGAGACGGATCGCCGACGTCCGTTATTTTTGTAATTTATTCGGTCTGATTATAAAATCCTACGCCCTACGATGGACTGTGAAGACGATGATCGGGTTGTTGATGTTTGTACCAACCCCCCGGTGCCTTCATCAGAAGTGAGATTTGATGGGAAACCATCTGATAATCCGAAAGAACGACCTGTAACTGACGCGGATAAAGAGGCACGCAGTCATCTGTTTTTCATGCCACGTTTTATTGCTTGCTTGGAGAAGAAGACAAGCTGTGCAACATTTAAAGAAGTCAACGCTTGCGGCTGTAGAGCATCCAAAGGCTTGTTGGAGACATCTACGGGTGAGAAAGTTCCATTTCTTTGTGATAATGGGTAATCTTCCTCATTATTTGCGTGTTCATATGATTGAACCAACGACTGTATTGATAACGCGCGAGATAGTTCCCAAATTAGAGAAGTTGATGGTTGTACCTAGTTTCATCTGGGTAACGTGATAGTCTGTGAATATAGTTGTGAGTTGTCGTAACCGATCATTGGGAAGGATAGTGACGTCCGGTCTATGTCACGTGGTGTCTAGTCGAAGGGACGCACTAGTCTGACCCAGGCAGGTGATGTGGTGAGCTGGTCGGAGGGATGATGTGGTCTTGCCGGAGCATGTTGGCTGGTGGTAGAGGCGCATACATCCGGTCCATGCACAACAATCGCTGAGGCCGTATCAGGTTTGGGAAAAGTTGTTTTGGAAGTAGCTACAACTGAAAATGATAATGTTACACCGATGTTGAGTGCAGTAACCAGACGATGTTGAGATAGCGCATGTTAGTCAGGATGAACGAGCAGCGTGCTATACACGTGGAATCTTTCTTCTGTTCCAGAACTACCACATAACTAAGATCGCTCGAGGACGAGCGAATGTCAGTCTGGCCGTGTCGGAGCGTCGATTATTTAAATTGAATTTTGAAGGAGGTTTTATCACAATTCATCGGACGAGGGTACCATAAATCGTACCCTGGCGGAACGTCAAACTGGCAGTTCTGCGTGCGCATTATGGAGGAGAGCGAGCGCTGTGACTGTCATATTGGAGACGGATCACCGACGTCCGTTATTTTTGTAATTTATTCGGTCTGATTATAAAATCCTACGCCCTACGATGGACTGTGAAGACGATGATCGGGTTGTTGATGTTTGTACCAACCCCCCGGTGCCTTCATATGCATAGCTGGCTTTAAATAAACAGAACATTATATTCTATACCTATGTAATAAAGACTAGAATTAATTGATTCACGATTTACAGCATATTAATTTTAATAAATTTTGAAATAATTTCCTTTATATTCCGTTCATTGAACTGTGACTGGTTTTATTGATCGTCATTTTAAATTCTCTATCATATAATGTTTTTTTTTATATATAATATTATTGACAACTTCGAACTAGGTAATCAAGATGATTTTTGAATCAATTTTGATCAAAGGATAGAGCCAAAATCGTATTCGCATGTAACTAACATAATTTTACAATTTACGTCTCTATTGTTGTAATATTTTTCACTTATTAATCGGAAAACTAATGCAGTTTCTTAGGGTAAATAAAGTAATTTTCGTAGTAAAAAGAGTATTCTAAAATGTGTAGGTACTTGACTACTAACAATAGTC